TTCCTCCTACTTCCATCATGCCATTAAAACTGCACTGAGAAGATGGTCATTTCCCAATTGCCAAATCACATGGGCACTTCTCACTTTGATATTGCTTAACTACTTAAACTGTTGATAGCTGCCTTCTTGAACTGCTCTTCTCTGAATTCTGTGACAGCACCTAGTCTTGATCCATCTTTTACATCCCTATATCCTCAAATTCTTTTGCCAGTCTCTTTACTTTAAATATTTGTTTTCTTTGGATTTCTATCCTATTCCCACATCTCTTCTTCTTCTTAATTTCTCTTTCTAAGCATTTCCATCTACTCCTGTGGCTTTCGTTAGAACCTAGAGCAACCTAGTCATGACCCAACTCTTCAGCCTCAGTTTCTACCATTCTCCACCTCTAACTTTGTGACCCTGAGAAAACAAATGCTATCAATAGCACTTGACACATATCATGCTTTTCATGCCTCTGTGCCTTCACAGGTGTTATTTCCTTTGTCTGAAATGCCCATCCTGCCCCTCTCCATCCCCTCCCTTCTTAAGATGACTATTTCCTTCTTATCCTTCAATACTTAACTCAGGCAAAATCCCAGGAAGGCTTTATATGCCTTTCCTCTCCTCCTCTACCCAAACTAGGTTCTGCTTAATATCTGTGTATCCTTTTATTACAGCATTTATCAGTAACTTGTTGTTGAAGTTATCCATATAAAGATCTATTTCCCCACCCTACTGTTCCTTATAAGCTGGGACCATGTCCTGCTTTTTGAATAATCAATGCCTAGAACAGCACCTGGTACATAGGAATTACCAAACAAATGCTTATTGATTGAACTGAAATATATATCATAAACCTAGAATTCTCTCTTTAAGACAAACTCATATCCAAGTATCTACTTAACATCCTACTTATATGTCCCACCAACACCTCAAATTCATGTGTACCAAGCTGAACTCATCTTCACACACACACGCCCCCCAATAAATTCTTCTGTTCTTCCTCTGCACTGTCTTGGTTAGTATATCACTATCCATCTAGTCACCAAAATCAGACACCCAGTAGTCATCCTTCTTGCCCACCCCATCTCTCCCCATCCTGCCCTCAGAAGTCACTAAGTCCTTGGGATCCTATACTTAGATATCTTTCAAACTTGTCCCCTTCTTTCCATCTACACTGCTGTAGTTTTAGTTCAAGCCTTTAAGTCTCGTTAGGATATTGTTTTTTTATTATAGTAAATCTTCATAACAAAGTTTACCATCTTAACCATTTTAAAGTGCACAGTTATATGGCCTTAAACACATTCATGTTATTGTGCTCACAAAGATTATTTTAATCAGGAGCTATCTGGACTTCCTACCTATAGGCTAACCTGTCTCCATCCCATTCCTACATCTTTGCCATTATAATACTTCCATAATGCAGATGATGTTACTAGATGTGTTAAAACCCACTCACTGCTTCCCACTGTCACCATTAGTGGTTTCTTCACAAAGTTTTCACAGGTCCAAGCTGAAATGAGAAAACTAAATAAATAAAATGTACCAAGTTTTTCTAAATTTTTTCAACTTAATGAATGACAACATTGATCAACATAAATACTGAAACATGCATGGGGGGCAAAGTCAATTTTGCTTTAGATATGCCAAGTGTCATATGCCTGTAGAAAAAGCAAAAGGAGATGTCTTAAAGGCAGTTGGGTATGTGAGTCTGAAACTCAGAAGGGAGTGAGAGTAATTCAAGCCCACGAAAACTCAGAAATATGCCTTAAAAGTTGGTAGTACTTTTGGGAGCAGTATAGTACACCAGAGAGATCAGGGGGGTGGTAATTAGACTTACCATCACATCCTAGCTCCAAACTCACTAGCAATAGGGCTGTGATCAAATTACCCTCTATATGTTTTGGTTTTGTCAACCAATGATAATGTATGTCTACTCTATGGAGTTATCATGAAAATTAAATATGTGCATAATTTGCTTCTCATAATTCATAGCACATAATCAGTGTTTATTAAGAATTATTTACTGTTTAATATATCTCATAATATTCATTAAGAGTGAAAAATAGGGGCGTCTGGGTGGCTCAGTCGGTTGAGCATATGGTTTTGGCTCAGGTCATGATCTCACAGTTTGTGATTTCAAGCCCCACGTCAGGCTCTGTGCTGACAGCTCAGAGCCTGGAGCCTGTTTTGGATTCTGTGTCTCCCTCTCTCTCTGCTCCTCCCCCGCTCGTGCTCTCTCTCTCTCTCTCTCTCTCTCTCTCTCTCTCTCTCTCTCAAAAATAAATAAACATTTTTTTAAAAAGTGAAAAATAAAAGTAAACTGATTAGGAAAATTGGTAAATAACTATGTCGGAAAATTATGTATTCCATTGTAGTATATACACGTTATCTAAATACATAGAAAATATAAAAATCATGTTAATTGAAAAAATAAGATTTCTGTCTAAAATATATCTGTAAGTATATTTTTCAAATTTACTATAGTAAACAGTAGTTTGTAACTATTATTTCCTAATTACGTGCAATGTCATCAATTTACTTTGTTAATGTGTTACTAAAATCTCAGGTGAAATATACCCACAAATACTTTCCCAATTTAACTTAACTAAGAACTTAAGGAAAATTTTTCATGAAGCTAAATAATCCATTAAATCTGAAATCTGTCGCTCTCTAGTAACCGAGCCCTAGTGGAAGTAACTTTGAACTAAGAACAAGGAAACCAGGCCCAGATTTGTTACTGTTTTACTACAGTCCTTGTATAAGGGTTTACTTGTCTGTGCTTCAGTTTCTTCATATTTGAAGAACTCCTAATGGAGTTCTCCTAATGGAGAACTCCTAATCCTAGCTCTAACCCTTTTCCTATTTCATGAAGCCCTTGGGAAACTACTGTTGAGTAACATCTGAAGCAGTTGGAACCTAATTTAATAAGCTACATACTTTTTTAAAGGATATTGTTGATTTGGACAGTAAAGAATAGCCTGCAGGCGAATCCACAAGGTGGTTCGACAGACGTATGCAGCTACCTTCCTGTTGGCACGGTCCACGTCTGGCAGGTGAATTCCATTCCTTACAAGAAGGAATAGGTGCTTCATTGTGTTTCAGAAGTCAGTACGCTTTTACAGAACGAAGTCATTGACATTTTTCTCATTTCTGAGATCAAATTTTCATAAATCATTCAACCTGGATAAACTGAGAATGTGGTTCATCTAGTAATTATTGAAACATAGTAAAGGGCAGTGCAAGATGTGATATTTAAGTATTTCCTCCTAACCTCTTACCTTAGCAAGGCATAAGAGTTCTAAATGGAAATATGTCCTAATCTATAAAAAGGAAACTAAAGTAAGATGAGCCTATTAGCAAAGAAAAAGTCAAAAGAGGCACAACACAAATTCATCTCAATAATTTGGAATGCCATTGATTCTGAATTCATAGTAATAATGATAACTATACAGAGTACAACTTTTCCATTATGAGGAATTTTTTTAATGGTAGTGTAAATCAGATTGTAGGGGAAGGATATAACTAACCAACATGAAAGTAATATTTTCTGCCTTTTTTACAATATATGCCAAAAAATGCTATTAATGGCCTGTCAATGTTTCCACTGGGAGTCATTTTTTAAGTTAATTGAGGTTACTATCATACTTTAACAATACATTTAAAATTTCATCCTGACATTTTTCTTGCCCTTTCTCCAAAATTAGGTTAGTGAAACTTTGTCTTAAAGAATTTATGTAATCCTATATAAATCATCATGTTCTTGTTTTCTGTTAACTGAACTCCATATATGCACAATCATCCAATAAACTTGAGCTAACTTTCAGTGTTGCATGTAAACCAGAGTGTGTGACACTAAGAATACCCTCATTCCTTTAGGGTCTAGCTCTGTGCTATGTTTATTTGCAAAGGACCCTCATGCATGGATCCATATAAATGAGGCAAGCTGGAGCAGACTAGACTATGTCGCTCACCAGTCTTTGAGGAAGAAGATTGTGTATATATGAAAACTGGAAGATTTCTGTGTGTGTAACATCAAACATGATTTTTTGTTGAGGTGTTATGCTTTCCGTAAAAAAACATAATAACAGGAGAAAAATTAATGGTCTGATTCCATCATCTCTTCTCAAGCAAAATCTCACTGATCCACATGAATGTGATCTCCCTCCCGTAGAGTAGCCTAAGAACACTACAGAATAGACTTTTGAACTTTTGACTTTATTTTCAAACTTATTTTTAACTATTTTTAAACTTATTTTTAAAAACTATTTTTAAAATTTTGACTTTAAGTGGTGAGTTTTTAATCAATTAAAAAAAATCACATATCCTTGATTAGAAACTATAGAGTCGTTGCTAGCCTATTTACATTACTCAGAATAGAAACTTCTTTTTAAATGTAGTACCAAAAGTCTGGTTTTATTAGCATCAAACCATTTGTGTATACTTAAATTATTTTCATGCCACTAAAGCATGAGTTTTTTCCAGCTAGCTACCTAATTCCTAATTATTTTCATCAGCTGACTCTTTGAAAAAGGAAGAAATTTAATGCATATGAATTGTACAACATAATAATTTGTTACTTATTTACCTAAGTAACAGGTGTGAGGTTGATAGTATTTCTGAATTAAAATATGTACTTCTTAGGTAAAAATCAGTTTGAAACTGCTCTGCATTTAATGTGCCATCTTCGCATTGCATAATAAATGATTCATTCACAGCCTTCATGCAAGCAGGTAAATGTAGTGAAATGAGTATGTTATATTTTTTCATGTAGCGTCTAAAACTGACATAATCTGAAGATGTGGGTTAAAGTTTGTGTTGTTACTGTTTTTTTTAACCTCAGATACGTGGCACTCTGCACCAGTGTCTCTTGCTGACAGTAATGCTTTGTCTCGTAACACGACTACCAAGACTGCTTGGTCACAGGCAAATACTGTTCTTTTTCAGCCAAAACATTCCTGACAATAATTGTACTTTTTGTATCCTTTTTTTCCCCCTCCCCCCACCTGCCCCCAACCTAGGCTGGAAAGGCTGGTGGACGTCCTGAGGAAGAAGGTTGGAACAGGGACCATGAGGACAGTGATCTGACTGAAAAAAACGACAGTCTGGGGAAGCAATCACATCTGGTGACCAGGCTGCTTCATTCAACACTGTGTAAACACTAAAGCCTTAACTTAGCAAACAGTTGTTAGAAGTGGGACACTCCAACCACATTCCAAGCTGAGATAAAATCAGATCACAAATGTTTAACCACTTTGCTGCTGACTTATTTATCCAAATGTATTAACTACAGACTTTTACCAATGAGTAGCTATAAAGTTGTAGCTTATTTTGTAACTATTTTATATCACTCTATTTGATATAAATCTTTTTACTGAGAGGCCATTATAGGTCATATCTTCACATACAGCCCTTTCTGAATCAAAATGCAGCAAAGTAAATATTGTCTAAACCTTAATCCATTGTGTTAGGTCAGAACTTCAAATACGTGCATTTTTCAATATAGTTTATTTCTTAACTGATGAGAGCAGCTCAGACATGAGAATGTATAGTCTTCCTCCAATGCATACACATGATCTTTGTTAATATTAAAGAATATTAAATATAAATACCAAGAATTAAATGTATAATTTGCTCCAATAGTTTGGTACATTAAAATTACATTAATCAAGGAATGATTTTTGTTTCACTACAAATAATACAAACTGTTTTCAATAAAAAAGAGGATATTGTTCATGTGTACTTATGGATTCATATTGTCGATGTTTTTAATGTTGTGTCTGAATAATGATCTAAACTCTATTTAAACTGTAGAAATTGCCAAGTCTGTCTAATAGGCTGGGACACCTCTGGCTTGAAAATTAGCATGTGCCAGCATGACTCTCAAAGGCAAGAGGCCATCAAAAACGTTAAGTATTCTTTTTGATTATCTTTATTTAGATTACCATTTGAATTTTTGTTGTGAAGGAGGGGAATCCAAGATACGATATACAGTAAAATTGTAATGTAAAAATATAAGGATGTGGAAAAAAGAAAACTGGCAGTTTGGCTTGGTTACCTGCTTTTCCTTTTATTTAAAAAATTGAAATAGTAAAGCATAACAATCACTTCTAGTCATATGAAATTATGAATAAAACCAAGATTTATGTATTTGGCTACAGAAAAAAATACCTTCTTTATTTTTTAGATTGAATAGATGAGAGGCCAATAGAAGATGACTGTGGCCACAACAGGATGAAATAGGCAAGTAGAGATTGAATTCGTGAGAATTTTGTGGGAAAGTGAAAATTTTTCCAAGCCCATACAATATTTTAATTTAGCTTTAAGACCGAGGTAGATTCTCTACCATTGCTTATTTTCAGGACAAGAACAGAATAGTTTATTGCACCATGCTTTGGATACACCAGTGGAGATTATTCATGTGATTTTTTTTTTTTTTACTCTTGCAGGAAAACATAAGGAGCTTTATCATAGGGCCACAAAAGAATCATAATGTTAACAAACTCGATTTCCTTCTCATGGAATTTTTTAAACTCCGTGGCCATTAGAACCATTCCATTAAGTTCAAATTTAGAGTTTACTCATGTCACCTGCTTTTAATTATTTTTTTAAACTATTAGAATTAGAAAATAAGGAGCAACAAGGGCTAGAAATAAGCTAACTGGATTTCTTCTACAGTCCCAAAGAGATTATAGCCTTTCATAGGCCAGTGACTATATAAATAGAGAAATTTGAAATAATGTGGTCATGCATGGAGTCTCCCCTCTGGGCTGTCATGGAAACATGTGGGAGCCCCTGTGTGAAGGAATAGTGCCTTGCAAATCATGCAGGTAAGTAAAGAGGAACAGTTCTTGTCACAAAATAGTCCATTCCTGAATCCTCTTCAAGTAAACCACAAGTAAACCTGAATTTTCAGGTTAGTCCTAAAGAACAGACAAATCTTTGCTGAGTTATTTTGCTTGGGGTTTTATAAAACACACAGTAAGCATAAAGACATTTTACAGCTTCCAAACATCTCTTTGTGTACTGAAATGATTAGATTAGAGCAACCAATTCCTGTAATCAATATCCAGAACTTTGAAAGAATCTGATAGTGTAAAGTTAAATTTATAAAACAATTCTAACATTTACTATTATCAGTGTAGGTAACCTCCGCCAAAATACCACATCCCCTTGAAGATGAGTTGTCTACAAAATTACAAATGCTAAGTATTTCAGCTAAATATTATCATTAATTGATTTCTTATACTTAAAAATGTCCACCAACAATGTTTCAAACCGTCTTCACTTTTGTTCATATGAAGGAGTTACCTAGCTTCTGAGATCGGTTCTCTAAATACTCGGTAATATGATGATGATGGTTTTAGTGCTGTTGTTATTATTATTACATTGTACAATTGAAGAAGTAGACTCAGAATCCTAGGAATTTGCCAGGGACTGGCGAGGACTTACAGCTGAGGTCTTAGGACTAAACTCCATGTAGCTGTAGTTCTCTAAACCTTTCTCTAAGGAAAAAAAAGACTGAAGATTTTAACTCTTGCAATTTTTATTATTATGCCATTTCTTTTCTACCAATACATATGAATTCACCAACAATTGAGATTGTATGCATTTCTTTTAGTGAAGTACAATAATGTGAACTGCATGTTTAAATAGCATCACATTTTTACTATCTCTCTACAGTGTTACAGTAGCAGCATGCTTTGCCTTAGGCTACAGTCATTGGGAATACTGTGACAATTCATTGTTAATAATAAATAACCTTGAGTTGCTTTGTGCCTGATGCCAAAACCTGACAGTGTAGTTTTATTGAATGGTGGTCTGAACTTCAAGGCTTACTTTATCTCCTACAGCAACTATTAGAAGTGGAACTGGTTATAAGCAAGTTATAAGCAAGGTTATTGGTTATAAGCAAGGGATAACCAGTTATAGCAAAGTTATTAGTTAACTATTAATATATGAGAAACTTTAATTCTACTTTTATAAATAAGCCGTTATGTTAAAATAATTTAAAATATTCAAAATATGATATCTAATAAAACATTTTCCCTTTTCAATGAGAAAGCTGATCCTCTGTATATATCCTTATTTCAAATAAACTGAAGAATCTTGTCAGTCATTTACTGACAGAATTTATTTCAAAAAATGTTAGAATATTCAAAACTTATAGTTTGAATATTAGATATAGTTGCATAGAAAAGCATCTTTATATGTAGCATTTTTAAAGATTATGGTTATTTTTGAAGTTTCTCTTTTCAAATACTCATGATTAATGAGTCATTACAATGATAAAACATTTTACACATGACTTACACATTTTATCTCCTCACATAAGTAAGGTTTGTGTGGAACCCGGATTTTTCCCAAACATCATTTTGTTATTGATAACTGTTATTTACAACTAACCTATCTATTAACCTATTCATGTCTATATACATGTGTATATCTGGATACTTAGAGCATACACACAGACACACACAAATACATTTGCCTTTTTAAAAATTTGATTTATAAGTCCACTGTTAGGCTCCAGTGACTTCAGCATTTTGTTCATGTTTTATTAGAAATGCACGTGGTTTCTGAGGCTTTTAAACAAATACATGGAATGGTTGAAAGATTTATATTGCTCATGCTTAGCTAAATATGTCATCTCTAGAAAAGATGTGGTTTGTTTTGGCACTGTTTTAAAAACTCACATATTTTAAACATTTGTTAAGTTGGAGCTTGCACATTTGAACCAGTAGCATACGTTCCAGAATAGTTTCTCAAGTTACCAAACTTTCTGTAATCCGTTTACTAGAATAACCTCTATTGAAAGGTTTTTCTGTTCTTTTTTTAAGTACTTTAATTTATAGAGGTTGGAGTTATTATTTTAATGTAGGATTTCATAGATAGACTTGGACAGTGATGAATGTGTATTTTTGAGAATCATCAAAATACTCTGTACTGTTGATATTTCTTTGCAAAAACTTTAATATACTTATTTTTAATTTTATTGTCATCTACAAAGTTTTGGAATACACTGGTACTTTTGAAGTCACCAATTTCTTGACTATCTGATTATTAACAAAGGTGAATTTTTTAAAAAGTTTTATTTATTTTTGAGAAAGAGACAGAGCGTGAGTGGGTTAGGGGCAGAGAGAGAGGGAGACACAGAATCTAAAGCAGGCTCCAGGCTCTGAGCTGTCAGCACAAAGCCCGATGCAGGGCTCGAACTCACAGACTGCGAGATCATGACCTGAGCTGAAGTCAGACGCTCAACCAACTGAGCCACCCAGGTGCCCAATAAAGGTGCATTTTAATGCACAAACTCAAATATCTAAAATATATACTTACTTTTTATTCACATAAAATCCCCTACTGCAAATCCTACACATTTCAATGCAATTCTGAGACATTGATCTTAATCAAATTTATAATGATACAATCCTGAAGACACTGCACTGGATATGCCTATAAAATATACTACAGTAAGAAAACAGATTAAGTTCACCATCAAACTGTGTTTGACAAGTTTAATGAAGATAAAAGTTGAGGGGCACCTGGCTGGCTCAGTGGGTGGAGCATGTGACTGTTGATCTCCTGGTCATGGGCTCGAGCCCCATGTTGGGCATAGAGATTACTTAATTAAGAAAACGACAAGAGTTGGTATGAACAAATTTTTTTAGATACCTCAGGAACCTTTAATAACTATTTAAATACAAAATAAAATCATAGCAATAAATATTAAGGAGAAACATTACTTTTGGTAAATACAGTTAGAAAGAACCTAGAAAAGAAGATCACGTCTCTTAATGAAAAAACAGTAGACTGATTCAAGTCCACTGCAAAGCACCTCTACTAACTTTGGAATTTGTATGTGGAATTTTGCTGTAACCAATAGCTGAAATCTAAAAACACTGCTTCTGGGGCGCCTGGGTGGCACAGTCGGTTAAGCGTCCGACTTCCGCCAGGTCACGATCTCGCGGTCCGTGAGTTCGAGCCCCACGTCGGGCTCTGGGCTGATGGCTCAGAGCCTGGAGCCTGTTTCCGATTCTGTGTCTCCCTCTCTCTCTGCCCCTCGCCCGTTCATGCTCTGTCTCTCTCTGTCCCAAAAATAAATAAATGTTGAAAAAAAAATTTTTTTAAATAAATAAATAAATAAAAACACTGCTTCTGTTCTGTTCATTCAGTCAAGGTAAGGTAATGTAAATACGCTACCAAATACTCTATCACCTGCAGTGAACTTAGAATTTAAAGCTTAAAGTATATGGCTAGAAGAGGACCAGGGTGGGGTGGGCAATAAGAATTTGGGGGGCAGTGGCGCCTGGGTGGCTCAGTTGGTTAAGCGACCAACTTTGGCTCCGGTCATGATCTCGCGGTTTGTTGAGTTTGAGCCCCGCATCAGGCTCCGTGCTGATAGCTCAGAGCGTGAGCCTGTCTTCGAATTCTGTGCCTCCCTCTCTCTGTCCCTCACCTGCTCTCTCTCTCTCTCTCTCTCTCTCTCTCTCTCTCTCTCTCTCTCTCTCAAAAATAAATAAAACATTAAAAAATGTAAGGAATCTTTGGGGCAAAGATTCTATAAACTCGTCTAAAGTGTCACCTCACTGTTGATAAAAATTGTTGAGTTACTGTGTCTGGTCTTTGTGATATTGTTACCATACGTTGTACTTCTATACATGCACACAATAGTAACATGGTTATTATTTTTTGCTTTAAATAACAGGTTTTAAGGAGATTTTTAAAAGTAAGAACACCACTATTTTATATTTACCCATGTATTTACCATTTCCAGGGCTCTTCTTTGTGTAGATCCAGGTTTCCACCCATCACCATATTCCTTCTTCCTGAAGCATTTATCATTTATAGTAAAGCAGGGCTGTGAGTGATGAATTCTTCCAGCTTTTGTATGCCTGAAAATGTCTGGATTCTTTTCTTTTCTTTGCCTTTATTTTGTGGGAAAAGGCTTTTTTGCTGGATATAGTATTTTAGGATAATTTTTTTTTCAGTATTTTCAAGATGTTGCTTTATTGTCTGGCTTGCTTTGTCCCTGCTCTCATTTTAATTTTTGTTCTCTACATAAAAACGTCCTCTGGCTGCTTTAAAGATTTTTCTCTTTGTCATTTGTTTCAACCAACGAGATTAGGATTTATTATGATATAGATTTCTGCATGTTTCTGTGCTCGTGGTTGGTTGAATTTCTTGGACTATAGGTTTGTAATCTATGAATTTTTTAATTTCAACCATTACAGATGAACATAGGGGAAGGGAAGGAAAAATAAGATTAAAACAGAGAGGGAGACAAATCATTAGAGACTCTTAGAACAAACTGAGGGTTGCTAGAGGGGAGGTGGGTTGGGAGATGGGCTAAATGAGTGATGGGCATTAAGGAGGGCACTTGTGATGAGCACTGGGTGTTACATGTAAGTGATGAATCACAGGGTTCTACTCCTGACACCAATATTACACTGTATTTTAACTAACTTGAATTTAAATAAATAAATTTTAAAATTTCAACCATTATTTTTCTAATAGTTTTCTGTCCCCCAGATCTTTTTCCTCTCCCTTTGGAACTATTACTTTACATATATTAGACTGTTTTAAGCTGTCCTACAGCTCATTCATGTTTCATGTAATTTCTTTTTCCAGACTGTTTTTCCTGCATGCTTTATTTTAGTTTCTATGACTTTATTTTCAAATTTACTAATCTTTTCTTTTCCAGTATCTAATGTGTTCATAATTCCATCCAGAGCATTATTCTTTGCAGGCATATTTTTCATCTCTAAAAGTTAAAGTTGGATATTTTAATTTCTTTTATCTCTCTCCTAAATTTATTTATGCCTTGTGTTATCTTCTGGAATACACAAAATATAGTTATAAGGACTATTTTAATGTCCTTATCTGTTAATTCTATTATCTATTCTATTTCCAGGTCTCTTTGTTTTTTGTTGTTGTTGTTTTCTTATCACGAGTTGCATTTTCCTGCTTTGGATGCCTGCTGACTTTTTTTTTAGATGCCAGTCATTGTGAATTTTAATTGGTTGAGTGTTGGCTATTTTTGTTTTTCATTAATGCTTTTGGAACTTTGGAGATACAGTTACACTACTTGGAAACAGATCCTCATTATAATGCTCTTTTGAGCTTATTAGGCAGGATCAGAGTAACTTTAATGTCAGGCTGATCCACCCCACCCCTCCCCACCCCCCTCCCAGTTTAGGCAATACCTCTCTGAATACACTACTTATGTACAATGGGGTTTCTCTACCTTGACTGATCACAGCCTTGTATGAATTTTGATTATTATCTTGCCAACTCCTTTTTTTTGGTAATTCTTACCCTCACTCAGTAGTTTACTGTCACACATGCTGGTCAACACTCAGAGGAAGAGTCCGGGAATGCACTGCAGTTCTGCAGAGTCCACTGCTCTCTTGTGCTCTCCCTGTGGAGTACTCCTCACTACATGCAGAATCTCTCTTCTTCAGTAGTCTGACCTGCAAACTCTAACCACATTCTCAGCTCTGTGTTCTCGACTCAGGGAGGCTGCCAGGCTGTTTCGTTACCCTTTCCTGCTCTCTGCTCTCTAACTTCTCCAGATAGTAAGCTGGGTCAATCCTCGAGCTCACTTCATACGCTTCCCTTCCCTCAGGGATCACTATGCTGGGCTGCCTGTTGTCCGAAGTCCAAAAACATTGATCCATGGATTTTCACTGTTGTTTGCTGTTGTTGCTGTTGGTTGATGAGTTTTTTGTTCTTTTTTTTTTTTTTTTTTAAGTCAGAGGGTAAATGTCCTGGTTACTCCATCATGCCCAAAAGTATAAGTCCTTCTATAACTGTTTTAAAATATTGGGGCGCCTGGGTGGCGCAGTCGGTTAAGCGTCCGACTTCAGCCAGGTCACGATCTCGCGGTCCGTGAGTTCGAGCCCCGCGTCAGGCTCTGGGCTGATGGCTCAGAGCCTGGAGCCTGTTTCCGATTCTGTGTCTCCCTCTCTCTCTGCCCCTCCCCCGTTCATGCTCTGTCTCTCTCTGTCCCAAAAATAAATAAAAACGTTGAAAAAAAATTTTTTTTAAATATTATCCTCTTGATGTCTAACTGCCTTCTTCCCTGTTGAGAAATTACCTGTCGGTCTTAATGTTTTTCTCCTGGAGGTAAAGTCTCTGTTTTCTCTGATTCTTTCTTGTTTTTATCTTTTTCTTTGTTTTTGACAGTTTTGTGCCTAGATGTGGTCTTTGTATATTTCTTGCTTGATTTCATCCATCTTATTAAATCTCAAACTTGATATTTTTTGCCATCTTTAGGAAACTTTGGTCAATATCTCTTTCTCCTCCTTCTGAAATTCCAATTATATATATTTTATATTTATTCACTGTGTTTCCCCATATTGCTGTCACCCTGTCCTGTATTTTCCTTTTTTTTTTTTCCTTTATGTACATTAGTTTTGAATTTTCAAAATTGCCTTTTATTTCACTAATCCTGTCTACTGATGTTAAAGCTGTCTATTCAGGTCTTAATTTCAGATTCTGTACTTTTCAATTCTACAGTTTCCTCTTGATTTTTTTTTTTTTTTTGTACATTCCAATTCTCTGGTAAAATACTCACCTTTCCAAATATATTGTCTCCCCCTTTGGTTCTGTTTTCTTGAATATACTAGTCATAGTTACTTAAAAGACTATGTCTACATGTCTACTAACTCCACTTTCTGAATCATCCATGGTCTGTTTTTGTTTTCTGCTTTCTAGATGCATGGTCCTGTCTCTTGGCATGCCTATTAATTAATGGTTGACTAAATGCAAGACATCCTGACCCTCTAGAAGATTCTGTCTTCCTCCAGAGAGGGCTTAACCTTTCCTCTATTGGGAAGATTGCGTGGAAGTTAATCACCTTAATCCAGTCAGGTACTATGCTGAGTTGTACCTGGGTTACATTCTGAGTAAGGCTCAGTTTTCTCTGGTTTTCCTCTCCTCTGATGGCCTAGCTCACTCGAGCTTTCAACGGTACAAGTGATGGCTTCACTGGGGCCCATTGAGATAGTCTCATCTGAGCTTTTTTAACCTCAACTTAGCACAGCTCAGAATTTGCCAAGTATTTTGAAGGGAAAACTAGGTGTGTGTTTCAGGCCCTTTGGCTCTCCAGGTCTGTCACTACAGCCTTGCAAGAATTGCTGAAAGCTATTTTCTCTGTGTCTAGCAGCAGTCTTCTTCCAGGACAAAGCCCAGATTACCACTCTCTCACCTTCACCCAAAACCAGCAAAGACCTCCAGGGGAGAGCGGCTGCAGAGTTTACCTCTCTGTTCTTTCCTCTCTAGAATCTTAGTCCCCCTCTTCTTTGTTTCAGCCCCTCTCTGATACTTTTAGTAAGTTATCCAGCTTACTTTTTGTAAGTTTTCCAACTTTTCTTCTTATTCTTAGCAGGGACATTGGTCTGCCACAAACCACTCTCTTCTGGAAGCAAAATGTCAGTGAGTTTTTAATTTCTGTTATTACATTTTTTTCATTTCTGAAGGTTATATTCTGATCATTCCCCAAATCCAGTTGGTCATTTTTATGGTCCCTTGTTCCTACCTCATATTTTCAATTCCTTTTTATCTTATACATTTTAAACATGCTTATTCTGTATTTGATTTCTGATCATTTTAATATCTGAAGTATTCACTGCTCCAATTTTGCGGTATTTTCCACTAGCTACATTTTTGCTGCCATATTTCTTTGGATGTTTGGTGATTCATGAATATGAGCCTATATTTCTTAGAATTATCCTCTGCGGGACTTTTCAGGGCCTGGGTTGAAGGTCGGTTCCTCCATAAAGGCTTCACATTTGCTTCTGTTAATCACCTGGGAACACATACAGGCTTTAGAGCACTTTAGAAACTTAAATGGACCACTTAAATGATGATAATTTGGGTTGAAAACCCACATGAGGGCTAGCTTATGGTTATAAAATTGATGACAGTTCCCATGTTTATGGATTGGAGGAATTAATATTGCTAAAATGTCCCTACTACCAAAAGCAATCCACAGATTGCACAGAATGCCATCCCTATCAAGGGTCCAGTGGCATTTTTCACAGAAGTATAGAAAACAATCCTAAAATTTAAATGGGACACAAAAGACCTCAAATAGCCAAAGCAATTCTGAGAGAACAAAGTAGGAGGCATCACACTTCTGATTTCAAGATATACTATGAAGCTAAGGACAGTACTAGCAGAAAAAGAGACAAACAGACCAATGGAACAGAATTGAGTTTATCAACTAATATTTGACAAGGGAGCCAAGAATACTCGAGAAAAGACAGTTTGTTCAATAATGGTGCTGGGGGTGGGGGGTACTTGGATAGTTAAGTCAGTGAAGCACCTAACTCTTGATTTTGGCTCAGGTCATGACTTCATGATTCATGGTTTTTAGCCCCATGTTGGGCTTTGCACTGACAGCGCGGAGCCTGCTTGGAATTCTCTCTCCTGTCTTTCTGCCCCTCCTCCCACTCTCTCTCAAAATAAGTAAACAAAATAAATAAATAATGGTGCTGGGAAAACTGGATATTCACATGTAAAACAAAAAAATGAAACTAGACCCTGTCCGGCACCACTCACAAAAATTAACTTGAAATCAATTAAAGGCTTAAATATAACACCTGAAACCATGAAACTCTTAGAAGAAAACATAGGAACAAAGCTCCTTGACATGGGTCTTGGCATTGGTTTTTTGGATATGACATCTAAAACACAAGCAACAAAATCAAAGATAAATAAGTGGGATTACATCAAACTGAAAAGCTGCACAACAAACAAAACCATTGACAAAGTGAAAAGACAACCTGCAGAATGGGAAAAAATATTTGCAACCGTATATCTGATAAGGGATTAATATCCAAAAACATATAACTCATTAGCATAAAAACAGTCCAATTAAAAATGAACAAAAGACCTAATTAGGCATTTTTTCCAAAGAAGATATATAAAGGGCCAACAGGTATATGAAAAAATACTCAACATTACTAGGCATTAGGTAGAAGCAGATCAAAACCACACAGGGATATCACTGCATACCTGTTAAAGTGGCCATCATCAAAAAAGATAATAAATAAACACTAGTGAGGGAACCCTTGTATATTGTTCGGATTATAAACTGGCACAGCCACTATGGAAAACAGTATGGAAGATCCTCAAAAATTTTAAAATAGAATTACCATATGATCCAGCAATTCTACTTCTGGAAATATGTCCAGAATACATGAAAACACTACCTCAAAAGGATGTCTGCACCCTCATGTTTCTAGAACCATTATTTACAATAGCTAAGACATAGAAACAACCTAAGTGTCCATCAACAGACAAATAGATAAAGAAGCTGTGGTCTATATACACAATGGAATATTATTCAGTCATAAAAAAGGAAATGCTATCATTGAAACAACGTGGATGAAACTTGAGGGCATTATGCTAAGTGAAATAAGACAGACAAAGACAAATACTGTATGGTCTCACTCCTATGTGGAATCTTAAAAGTGTTCATAGAGGGAGATTTTTTTTATTCTCCATTCATAGCCCAAGTTTAAGATTTTTTCCTTGAGTGGACCCTGGACTTTGTCCCCTATCCCCTGTGCCACTAAGAAGTACATGAAAACCAAAGCTCAAATTCACCCCATCATAGGGCAAATGCTTTTAAAGTAAAAACTGCTTACCATTGAGGGTTCCCAGTTTTCCTTAGGTGTAGGCCTCTGTGTATTCCTCACCAAGTAGCCAATACACTGATGGATTTGCAAAGATATCTGTCATTTTCTAGCATTTTTAGTTGCTTACTGAGAGAGGTTCCAGGTTCATCATAGCAGGAAACAGTAGTCAGGACTGAATGTTATTAAATGTGTACACATACACACACACACACACACACACACACACACACACACACAGATATAATTGCACTGCTAATAAAATTTTCTGAATTTAGTTCCAAATTTAGTATCACTTGTATACATGATTAAAATGAGTAGATAATAAATTTACTTTCCAAGATCCATAATTGCAGCTCTTTGTCCCCACCAGTAACTACAAGCAGTTTTTCATTAAAGAAAAGAAAATGATTGAATAATCCAAATTAGCCTGGGCAAGAAAACTAACAGCTGCTTAAAATGAAATGTTTGAGTTATGAGCCATGTACCACTTTGGTTTATCTGCAGCCAAAAGGTTTAGAATCCTTATTCAATTAACCATGTTGCTTGGGAGGGCCTGGTTGCCCTGAATAAGAGCTGCCTGGTGATGAGTAAGAGGTATTCGTGACACACAAGTTCAGACCTTGCAACTCTGTTTTTGTTGTTTGAACTTTCTTCTCTGTTGTAGCTAGGGATCCGGCGTGGAATTTAAACACTTGTGTGGTAACTCCATTCCTTCAGCCATTGTGTTGTTAAGCTCTAGCTAACGAACTTTTAACACTGGCTTGATGTAAAGCAAGACTGAGAAAATAGCCCCCATCAACATTTCTGGTTTTATAATTAAAAACTATATGATTTCTGTGTCTTTAAGAGGTAAGATGCTCATGCCTGTGGAGTCCAGCTGTTCCCCCAAAAGTAACCTTCGTAATATGTGTGAACAATAAATAAACCAAGGTGCATCTAAGAAAGCTGAAATTAAGAAATGACTTACATTTCAAAAATCATACCTCTTGTAACAGAAACTCCAACATGCATACCTGTATTAAAACTTAGGAACTTTGCCTAAAATACAGGAAACAAACTTATGTAACATTTGGAAAGGTGAGTATTGCTAAACATACTGGTCAAGTATACTTTGTTTCATGTGGCCCTTTTCTTCCAGGCCAACAGTTTTTGTTGCCTAGGGAGATCCTCCTGATAATGTCACAAAGAATGTTTCTCAGACCCATATAGATTGTGTACACGTCGGCTTGCTAAAGACAAGTTTTGATTTTAAATCTCTAAGCTTCAGTTTGTTTCTAAGCATACTGTTTGAAACAAAAAACAGGTGAATAGACGAGAGAAGACTCAATTTCTTCTCCCACTCATCAACCACTTCTGAAGATGATTCTGGCTGAGAAAATTTAAATACAGTTTGAATAATGATATATAATTTGACATAAAATGTCTCAGAATTTGAAGAATTACTTTGAAGAATTACTATCCACTTGAACATACACACTGACTTCTGATGTTTTATGTCACAATCTTTTCATGTTACAAAATTAGATTTGCTTTTTGCATCTTATTTTCTTCAACTGCAGTCATATTATAAAGCACAGTTGTATACTTTCATTTAGGTGACATGAAGACATCTTTTCATTTAAGTTAATACCTAATCTCGTTTGTCAAATAGAAGCAAAGAAACACCTTTGAAATCAGCAGTTTCAATTAAAACTTCAGTCATATCAAAATAATCATTTTATTTCTGTGTTTATAAAAAATGCAACAGCTGTTCAGGAAACACAGCTATATCGCAGACTGAAAATTTAAATGTTGCAGATATTATTGTCCTTCAGTTGCGGTAAGACAAACAGTGGTTTTATTATTTCAAGAATCAAAGAATGAACCGTATGTGTACTGTTTTGTTTGGGTTGTTTGTTTTTTAGATTTTTTAGGAAAGTTTTCTGGTTCCATATTAGATTAAAAAAAAAAAAAACAATTGACCAAATCATACCTGGAAACTCGGGCACATTATTTTGTTTTCATATGGATGGCAAGAAAAGTAATAGAATCGACTTTCTTTCATACTAATACCTTTGACCTGTGCTCCAAGCCTACTCTCCATTTCAGTTCCTACCCTATATTTTCATTATTGAATTCATTTACCATTTTTAAGCCTCTACTCAGTCAAATCCACCTTCGTGTGTTTAAATCCAATTCATCCTTCAAGAATACTTATACGCCACCCCCGACATGAAGCTTTCCCTAATTCCCCACCCTAACCTCACCACCAAGCCACAGTTAATCTCTCTTCTATATGCCTCATAGCTCCGTCTTCATCTGTATTAGGGCAGTTATTAGTATTCCTGTATAGTATTCCTGTACTATCTCCCATTACAATGCAGCTTCTACAGGTCAGAGATTGTCCATATTTCTTTGCACAGGTAAAATACTTGGTAAATAGTCATTCTTGTTAATGACAAAAACTAAATCTTCCAACTGTATTGTTTTATAAACATTTGTGTGATGTGTCTTTTAATAAAAGATGAAGATTTGAGTGTCATTTCCCAAAATAGTGGTGTTAAAATACATTAGCATGTCAAATTATTTAGCACTTGGCATATTATCAGGTGAAACGTGCTCATCTGAAGACTTTAACTTTTAACCATAATAAGTTTAAAGTGAAGAGTTTCGGTCTTTTGTGTTGTTTGTTTGATTTTGATTAGGTTTGGTTTTTTAAGCAGAATTTCTTGTGTAACTGTCAAATGTTGGTCCCTATAAAGTTGAAATCTTACTCTATGATAAAGTGAAGGCATGGTTCCATTGTCTTGGAAAGTTTAAACAAAATTTCCAGACCCCAAAATAGGCCATTTAACTCTTTATTGAACAATGCTAATAACTAAATTGCTTTCTGGAATCAAGTGTATCAAAAATCAAAGAGAGAGAATGCAAGCAGTGTATAAACCAATGTGTGTTTGGATGTCTGCTGATATTGCTGTGATGTACTTTAAATCATGATTTCAAATTCATTGATTCTGCATTTCCAAAAAGTAAAATTTCCTAAATTCTGATTATTTTGATAAATTGTCTTGTTATTTTACTTTCTAGTTACGTATTATTCTTTTAGTTCTAAGCCATATTTTAAGATATGTGAGAACAAATAAATTGTGCATGAACATTTCCCATCAAGTGGCAGCTTCAAAAATTAATATTTAGCAACTAATTTTCTGTCTCTTCTCCACCAGTTTTCATTATGTAACTTGTTTAATGAAGATCCTAAAGCTTAAAAAATACATATCATTTTCCAATAAATAGGTCAGTTATATCAAAGCCTTTTTGAAACACTCAAGCGTAGAATATTCACTACATTTACTTGTATGACTATGAATGACATTAACACACTGAAAATCTTTAAGTTCCTTAAAGAAGTTTTTTCTCATAAATTCACCCTGGCTGTCTAACCAAATTACATTTTCAAGAAAGTATGTCCTCTGAAATTGCTTATAGTATGTACCTCACACACAAAGTTACCTATCTTAGTTACTCTGGTTGCCAGCAGAGTGATTCACTTTCAATAACAGTATTTTGTTTGTAATTTTCTAGGAACTACAGCCCTTTACTCATCAAGCAACAGTAAACCAAAACTGCCAACATTGTTTACCATGTTGAAAAATTAAAATTATCTTCATGAATAGTGCTCAAATGGTGGCACATGGCTAAATGAATCATCTTTGTCTTAAAGCAAAAAGGTTAGACTTTACCTATGTTTAAGAGTTAATTTTTCTTGAAATTCACCAGACAAGAAACAGAAAATGCTGTAAATTTTTAGCTTTTGTCTTGAACATCTGAAGTTCTTTCAGCTAGTAATTTTTTACTTAGAATTGTATCTTTAATCCGAGGATCTCCCATCTCTTTGAAGCCAGTTAATTAAAACACATAGTCATCGTATAGAACTTTCACATTTGGGTAAAATGAGAACAACGGAATTGAATAACTTTTATAATGTGACCTAAGCAAGCATTTTCAAATACGAATGTGTATCCACTCTTAAGTTCCCGCTTTCCTATCTGTCTGTTAAAAGCTGAAAGTTGTGCCATCATGGTTAATGTTTTGACAGATTTTACCATAAACCTTGCTGTTGTAAATTTGCCTTGAGCCAAAATTTAACATGTTGTAAGCCCAGAAACAGTTTTTACTGTTAGTGACCAGAAAAGGAAATAAATCAATTATGCTCTTCTAAATGATGGGAGTATAGAGTTTAACTCTTTAAAAGTTATACATTACTCAAAATATAGGAGTAATATTCATTTTGTATGTTCAAGGCCTCTCAACTGTCAATACAACATACATAAACACTTTTGTGACTATCACAAGGAAGAACATACCAAGTGAAATATTATGTGGCTTGTATGTGCTCACTAAATTTTATAACCAAAATATTATCCCGAAGTTTTCATTAAAATGCCCACTGCCTTAGTATGTGGAATAAAAAATTTAGGCCCTCAACATGTGATTGATTCAAACACTATAGGGTAATCCACTTTGTTTCCAGATAATTTATCAGAATGTTCTTTAGTTGGACCCCATTTTATTGTTTCTGTCATCTATTTTTTGATAACTACTTAGAGTATTCTATTACACGTACCCCCAATCACTGCTATTTCTTAAAGCCTAAAGACCTAGGTTTTTTTTCTCTCTCTAAAACATCTTTAATGACCATGACCATTAATATTTACTCATAAATGCATTTGTACACAGGCTTAACCATTGTACATGAGTGAAGGAAAAAAGGGTTGTTACCCAGTTCTTTACCCTAGAATAAATCAAATCAACAAATATTTATCGAATGTCTACTATGTGCAAATAGCCCTGGACTGGTCAGCTTTTAAAAGCCATCCAACTTTTCACATTGACAAATCAAAGCATTATTATTTCAAGCATTGCAGAAGCTGTCTCCATGTCCTTTAGGTGACAAAGCCTATGAGGACTCTGGATTACTTGGAATAAAGAAAGACAAGGAAGAGAAAGCTAAATAACAGACTGAAAAGAGGAGAAAAACTAACCTAAAATTCCACCGATGGATTGCATCATGTACGTATGTATATATACACGTATGTGTGTATGAGTTTATGTGCATGAGTATATTTTATGTATGTGTGTGTATTTATATACACATATACACACTAAGAGAAGAATGAGTGAATTTGAGAAAAACAGACTTTGTTAAGGTGATAGAAGAATGAGCACTTACATTTGAGTTCAGAGCTTTGCTTTAAAAGTAGGCTTAGGCTTAAATGTCTGATTACTGTTCTAGAATACTAAATCCTGTGGTATAATGAAACCAAAATACATCATAGTATAACAGAAAGATTACTCAACTTAGTGCCCCAAGTTCTAAAACCTAGCTTGCCCTAAAATCTATTAGAAGATGACCTCCTCAATCAATAGATCTATACTAGAAGTGACCTTTACATTATTACTATAGGAAACTGTTGCAGAGTCCTAAATAAGAAGTTAATCTGATCATAAATAAGACACTTAAATGCTCATTTTAAAGATTCTACTTCATATTAGGAACTAAATAAAAACTAGTAGTAAGAGACAAAACTTACATATTTTATTATATATTGTGCTATGCCATCGTGCTACATATTACACTATGCTATATTATACTACATATTATGCTATAATTGTCTCTGCATTTCATTTTGTTAATCAGTAAAAGATAAATAACATTATCTACCCACATCAAATAATGAAATGCATTTCCTTAGTGAGGTATAAAAGGGAGGCCAGTGATAATTTCCAGCTTTACCAAATAGAATTAGTCCTGGCTACTTTGCATAGTAGGTATGTATATATGTTGGCCATTGAAGATGCTGTCTCTGATATTCTCACAGAGGATGTCTGGTGTCAATTTTAAAATATTTGTTTAGAAGAACTAATGTTTTAATATTCACTTTTGCCTCCTATTGGTAGACTAAGCTTAATTTCCAATGAAAGTCAAAGCAGACTCTTTAAATAATCTTTTTAAGCAGCATTTATCTTTCCTAAAGTGCCTGAAACTAATTTCTCAGTTTTTGTGTAGGGGGAAAACATGTTATAGCTCTATTATTCAAAGTTTATGTTCTGTTATAAAATTGTTGGTTATTAAAATCACTTTGAAGCAAAATTATCTTCTCATATATCTAATTATTTGATACTTCATCTATCTAGTTGAAATTTATTTTCGATGCATACTCTAATTGCTCTATAGTAAATTTTGGGTTTCTTCTCAGCTACTGTCTTTCTTTTCTTGTAAAACCATGCTGTTGACCTTTGTAAATACAGGAATCACTTTCAGTGTATTACTACACTGATTTGATGTCTTTCATTTATTTCCTTGGTATATTGTAATTAATGTCTTTGGATATATTCTAAATAAGATTTCACTTGGATGGTCCAGATCTAAATGCTTATGTTCATGAAGAAATATTATTTTTAGAGTTGTTTCTAATTTTCATTTCATTTTCCCCTCCTTTGACCAGAATTCCCAATACTAAGACCCTCTCACCTAGGACCTACCCTGGATTCACCTGCCCCCTTGTGGTGTTCCTCTCTGAATAGTTAATTGATTTCTGAAATTGGACTTGATGTTACATATCCTGAGAAGAGAAATCTCATTCCATTACTCTTGTCTAGCAGTGTAGGGTCAGAAAAGTTTTCTTCTCTTAGCCACTGGCTAACACAAAAAGAGAAAAGAAGTGTTGTGGGGTTTTTTTTATATTACATATTTTGGGGTTTTTTGTTTTAAATTCAGAGCACAAGAAGGAAATTGGGCAAGAAATAAGTAGATTGGAATAAATGATGAAAATTAATTTTGCCTAAAATCAATATTAGTGACCTGAAGATCGATAAGGTAAAGACATGTTTCAAAACTTATCATAAAGCAACTTAAAATCAAGTTCTTTCTATGTCCGTGTCTCCTTTTTCGCTGAGTGGAGGAAGAAGGGAGAATGCTATCCTGTTTTATTTAAATGTTAAATAGATTTCATAAGCCTTTCATCAATGATGAATTCATAAATATAAAAATAGATTAAACCTCATGTTCTGTGTAGTTAGATATGTCTGATATGATTGACGCGAATACATTTTTGTTTCCCTTTCCCAAAAAGGAATCCCTTCACATGCCTCAGGACCAATGTTTACATCTTCAGTTGAAGTCAATAGAATTTGCACATGGAAGAGGGCTATATGGGGTCAATGGATAAATTACCTAGTCACAAATTCAGAGACATTTTGTAAGAATAAGGACTTAAGAATTAAGCTACTAGTTAATAAAGAATAATATCAAGATAAAAGAAAGGGAAAAGGAAAGAAAAGTATTTACATAATGAATTTGTCTTTCTTAACAGGAAGAGATGGATTAATAAATTATTATTAACAAGTACATTTTTAAATATATCATTTTCTTTTAACTGTAAATATTTCTAGTAGAAAAGAGTTGTTTTTTTCTATGCTGATCTGCCTCCCACCCCCACTCCCCACCAAAGCTTGATTTGATTGAATAATAGTGATCTGTCGTGGCAGTTTAAACTTCACAGCGCCTCCCTTGAGATCTGGAAGGAACAGTATGCAGGCTTTAATAAAGCTATATGTAGTCTAACTGCCAAGTTTCTAGCACCCACCGCTCCTTTGCAGTTTCTCTTCTATTTGTAACAGTTGACCTACTAACAGGTTCCCAGAAACACAGGTTCAGATTTTGGCAGGCTTACCTCACCTCTTTGTCCTTCCAAAGTACATAAATGCTAAACTGTGTTCACAGTGAGGAAGGGAGAGTCATTCCAATGAGACTTTTAAAAATCAAGACCCTTTCTGCTCCCCACCAAGTTACTGCCATCCTCTCCAAAGGAATCAAGTTTTTGTCAGTGTGCCCTTGGCATAATTTCTTCAGCCTGGATTAAACACAGGTGACTGAGAGTCTACCTTATCTTCACAGGGCATTAGTCACTCTATAAAAGTTAAATTTATTATGAAATACTTTGTTTGTGTTAACATATATCTTCTCTGGGAAGTTGGAAACAAAGGCATGTCCTTTAAGACTCCATATGGGGAAAACACATCCTCCTTTGGAATTTAACCTTAATTTGAACCAAGATCTGTGAAAGAAAAGCACTTTAGTGTATTGTTCCCCTGCTCCACCCATCTATCCCTTATCTAAATGGGGTTACTGTTGCTTCGTGTTTTTTTAACTCTTCTCGTTCCAAATCTTGCTTTCCTGAGTTTAAAATTTATCTCAGTAGAGAAATGTATTAAAATAATTGTGGCAGACAGTTGTGCTTTGCTTTTAAGGGTAAGTGATTTTATGTAACATGTTAATTCTGATCTTTAAAATTAAATGTATAGCCAGTTTATACTCACATACGTTGTTTTAACAAATGGTGAATTTTAAAGAATATTTTATTCCCTAAAAGATTTATTTCCTGAAAATCCTCTCTCAGATTCTCTTACTGGCATTGTCATGTAGGCATAGTTTCTACTTGATTAGAAGTTAAAAACAATTAGAAGAAAGGTTTACATTAAGAATGATGATGAGGTATATTTGAAAGACCAATTTTCAAGACCTCTGATTTCCTTCAGTCTGTTTGCAAAATCTTTGTAATGCTTTCACTGTATCTCAGTCCATAGATGGCCCAATTTTCCAATATAAAAGCAAAAGCAAAGCTTTCATTGCAGCTACCCTCATCATAACAGACTACATGTTTATAAACATCAAGGAAACTATTTCCACAAAATAATACTTAAGTTGACATTTAAAAAATACTGCGTGTGTGAATGGTTAGTTTCTTTCATTTAATAACATCTACCAACAAACTTGTAATTATCCAAATGATTTTCCTTTATTGACATGTTACACTAAGGAAAAATCACAAACTAAATTTGAATATAAACTTAGATTTTTATTTATTAAAAGAACACAATTTTAAAATGGACACATACACAGACTCAGTGGGTTGAGCTTCCAACTCTTGACTTCAACTCAGGTCATGATCCTAGAGTCGTGCCACAAGTCAGGCCCGTGCCACAAGTAGCCTGCTTATGATTCTCTCTTCCTCTGACCTTCTCGCCTGCTTGTGCGGTCTTCTCTCTCTCTAGAATAAAATAAAATAAAATAAAATAGAATAAAATACAAATTGAAGCATCCTTACTGACCATGAACTGTATTACTAGACAAGACTTTGTTAGACGAACTTAGAAATAATTTAAAAATACCATAAATTCCATGGAAATTATTTATTTTTATTAATTTTTATTTACCTTTGGAACTCCAACACTAACTAGGGGCGCCTGGGTGGCGCAGTCGGTTAAGCGTCCGACTTCAGCCAGGTCACGATCTCGTGGTCCGTGAGTTCGAGCCCCGCATCAGGCTCTGGGCTGATGGCTCGGAGCCTGGAGCCTGTTTCCGATTCTGTGTCTCCCTCTCTCTCTGCCCCTCCCCCGTTCATGCTCTGTCTCTCTCTGTCCCAAAAATAAATAAACGTGGAAAAAAATTAAAAAAAAAAAAAAGAACTCCAACACTAACTAGAACATATGGAACATAGAAGACACTTTAAAGTATTTAATTCAAAATACTACTTACCTAAAGAAATCACAATATGACAGAGTCACAAGAAGTATGGATAACAGACTGTAGCCACAGGTGAGGGTTAGGGGATAAGAGAATCAATTGTAAAACCTCTAAGCCTTATTAATAATCATTTAATGACAACACGTAAGTTACAGTACAAGTGAAGGCGGAAGTAATGTTCTTAGAAGAAATGTTTCTATGCCAGTTATATTTGTAAGTCTTCAGTATTTTTCTAAAAGTATATCCTAATGAGAGGATTGAAAGAGATACTAGAGAGGGTTTTATTGTTTGTATTTATCAGTAATCCAGACAACACCATCCCAGTGCTAAGGATACGAAGTTGACTGGAAATCACAGTCCAGAGGGAATGATGTAGCAGTGAATGACTATAATACAGTGTGGGAGATACCATAATAGAGGCAGGCTCAGAATGCTTTAGCAAAACAGGTGAGAAGGCATCTTGCCTTGCTGATGAGATTAAGGAAGGCTTCCCAGAGGAGATGGTGTTTGGGTTAAGTGCCACTGGGACTAGTAATTAAGGAGTGCATGGTGATTTTAACCAGAGCAATTTCTACTCTAATAAGATACAAAATCCAAATTGCAGACAATTAGAAGTGAAGGAAACATATAGAAATGGAGACAGTGAGTGTAGACTGCTTTTCCCAGGAAACTGCCTTCCCAGGAAACTCTCCTTACTTGCTGCCTCTGAATAGATCTAATAAAGAATTTACATATTGCACAACACAATTAAGTGCTGTTGCTAGTAATAGATTTTTTTCTGCGTGTTAGTGAATAAATCATATTCCATTTGTACAAGCTCAGTAACATGAACCTTCCAGCAAGAGCCTTATCGCTTGACAGAGGATCAGAACTACACCTTTCATTGTCAGTGTCTTTGATCCCCAATTCTTCTCTTCCCCCTTTCTATTCTGGACCTTCACAGTCTCAGTTGCCAAGTATACCTGGATGAAACTTTCTCTTTCCTCCCTGTCTTCTTCCATCTTTCTCATAATTTCTCTTTGTACCTCTAACCATATATCCTCATGTGATCCAAATAGTTTAGTATCTATACTATTATAGATAGTAATATAGTATACTATATTACTATAGTAATAGTATATATTATAGTATATATATATATAATATATAGATATAGTATATCTATAGTATATATAGATAGTAATATAGATATAGTATCTATACTATATTAGCATCTTTCTGATGCTAAGTATTACTTACTGAATACACTTCCAAATTTCTTACAGCATTCAAGGCCCTCCAGACTTTTGTTCCAGACACCTTCTCAGCTTTATCTTCCTGTACCCTCCTCTTTAATACTTCAACTTCACCTTCCCCTGTATACACCCTAAACTGTCTGGCTTCCATTTCCTGACACTGTTAACCCCCACCTGGAAGTGCCCCCTCCCTCCAATCTCATGTCTAAATCCTGTCTGACATTTATGGTCTTACTCACTTGTCATATTCCCTATAAATTCCTTTTTTGATCTTCCCAATAGTACTTTTTTTTCTCTTTTATTTTTTATTTTTTAAAATTTACATCCAAATTAGCATATAGTGCAACAATGATTTCAGGAGTAGATTCCTTAATGCCCCTTACCCATTTAGCCCATCCCCCCTCCCACACCCCCTCACAAACCCTCAGTTTGTTCTCCATATTTATGAGTCTCTTCTGTTTTGTTCCCCTCCCTGTTTTTATGTTATTTTTGTTTCCCTTCCCTTATGTTAATCTGTTTTGTCTCTTAAAGTCCTCATATGAGTGAAGTCATATGATTTTTGTCTTTCTCTGACTAATTTCACTTAGCATAATACCCTCCAGTTCCATCCACATAGTTGCAAATGACAAGATTTCATTCTTTTTGATTGCCAAGTAATACTCCATTGTGTGTGTGTGTGTGTGTGTGTGTGTGTGTGTGTGTGTGTGTGTGTGTTGTGTGTCCATTCATCTATTGATGGACATTTTTGGGCTCTTTCCATACTTTGGCTATTGTTGATAGTGCTGCTATAAACATGGGGGTGCATGTGTTCCTTTGAAACAGCACAGCTGTATCCCTTGGATAAATGCCTAGTAGTGCAATTGCTGGTTCGTACGGTAGTTCTATTTTTAGTTTTTTGAGGAACCTCCATACTGTTTCCCAGAGTGGCTGCACCAACTTGCATTCCCACCAACAATGCAAAAGAGATCCTCTTTCTCTGCATTCTTGCCAACATCTGTTGTTGTCTGAGTTGTTAATGTTAGCCATTCTGAGGGGTGTAAGGTGGTATCTCATTATGGTTTTGATTTGTATTTCCCTGATGATGAGTGATGTTGAGCACTTTTTCATGTGTCAGTTGCCATCTGGATGTCTTCCTTGGAGAAGTGTCTATTCATGTCTTTTGCCCATGTCTTCACTGGATTATTTGTTTTTTGGGTGTTGAGTTTGATAAGTTCTTTATAGATTTTGGATACTAACCCTTTATCTGATATGTCATTTGCAAAAATCTTCTCCCATTCTGTCGGTTGCCTTTTAGTTTAGCTGATTATTTCCTTTGCTGTGCAGAAGCTTTTTATTTTGATGAGGTCCCAGGAGTTCATTTTTGCTTTTGTTTCCCTTGCCTCCAGAGATGTGTTGAGTAAGAAGTTGCTGCAGCCAAGATCAAAGAGGTTTTTGCCTGCTTTCTCCTCCAGGATTTTGATGGCTTCCTGACTTACATTTAGGTCTTTCATCCATTTTGAGTTTATTTTTGTGTATGGTGTAAGAAAGTGGTCCAGGTTCATTCTTGTGCATGTCGCTGTCCAGTTTTCCGAGCACCACTTGCTGAAGAGACTGTCTTTATTCCATTGAATATTCTTTCCTGCTTTGTCAAAGATTAGTTGGCCATACGTTTGTGGGTCCATTTCTGGGTTCTCTATTCTGTTCCATTGATCTGAGTGTCTGTTCTTGTGCCAGTACCATACTGTCTTGATGATTACAGCTTTGTAGGATAGCTTGAAGTCTGGGATTGTGATGCCTCCCCAATATTACTTTTATTCTCCATCTCAGTTTTTTATGTGTCTCTATGCCATTCATTTATTCAGCAAAACTTTACTGAGTACCTACTATATGCCAGAAACCAAAATGACCATTTTCTACTTTTTTTTCCCACAGTTGACTAACTATTTTATCCCACCACTCCTATCACGCTAAATTCTTTAAGATCAAGAATCATCTAATATAGCTCTGGAAGTATCTATTACAATGCTTTCCACTAGTAATTGTACAAGTGTGTTGATTTCATTTATTAATGAATAAATTAATCTCAAATGGAGATCCATCCCCTGAAATTCAGTGAAACAAAGATAGCACTCAAATCTTTTATCCTCCCTGCCATGAAGTTCTCTCCTATCATTGTCTGCAAGAATACAGTTTGTCACTTCCTCAGTTTAACTGTCTTATGGCACTTAACAAAATGGTATTTGGCTGCCTTGTATTTGTTCTCTTAAATTCTTCCCTATCTTCAGCTCCATATATTCCACTGAAAGATGCCAAGAGTTGTAATATTAATCAAGTCCCTCCACTTTACCTCCATGACGACCTCACTTATGGTATGGTGACCATGCTACAACTTCCTTCTTAAAAGGGTCGTTCAACTCCAGTTTCCTTCTTTTGACCTATCCTACATAAGTTAGCTTTGAATTTAAACTCAGATTGTATTTCTTTTCAAATCTTTCCTCTTTCTGTAGCCATTACAAAAACTGTTTCATACTAACACACTTCCATTTCTTCCCTAATCTTCCATCTTCTTGCTATTTGGCAACAATCTTAGTTTAAAATGCGCTTCACTTCTAGAGCATTCTACCTCTTCACTCTCATCAGCATAGTTTACTTACTGTATCACTCCAGCTATCTTTAACACAGCTTAAAACCTGTTTTTAAGGGAGTTTTTAAAAATTAACCTAGATTTGTGTGTCACTATATTTTCTATATATTGTTCAATCACTAAAGTAATTGAAACAAATTTTATTTATCCTTCTCTATAAGAGTCCTCTGCTAAAGACATTACCTAATCCAAATAGTGTAATATTCAACATGAATCCCATACACTGATCTGTATTTTAAATGTAAAGTTTTGCTTTTCATGATGGTGTTAATCTGTGGTTTTCTGCCCTTTAAGTAGAACAAATATAATAAATAGTGCCAAGATACTCAACTCTGCTAGAATTACAATATATAATCAAATGATCTTTATTGACTAATTAACCAAATACAGAAAAATTAATGCTAGCATAACATGACTTCAAACATATGCCAGTTCCTAAAATATGGGTAAGAGACTGAATGTGAGGCTTGAATGCAAGAATTACCAAGATTTGATGGTCAGCGACTAGGGTTTAGAATATAAGGAAGAGTCTTCTGCTTCCAACTATAACAGAGTTGCTAAAATCTGATTAAGTCACTCACCAAGAATAACTATAAAACTTGGACAAAATACTTTACTAAAAAGATAAAGAACAAAGAAGAGACTTTGTCAGTTCCATGATGCTGGGGAGACAAAAATTGGAATGCAATTCTCACCAAAGAGCAGAGACTCAGCTTTGGGGTCAGACCTAGGGAAAGCTATTCCATAGGAGTAAAGATACATTGTAAATAGAACAGCTTCAACTATATCAAGGTGATCTTCCCAAATTCACATACGCCTAAGATACTCACCAATACAAGATGGAATTTGGAGGAAGGACGGGGAATTTGCCTGTGCTCTAGACCCTGCACTGAATAGGAGGCTGCCTGCCACTGGAGGAGATGTCTGAGGCCTGCCTAAGACCAAGATGGGAGCTGGAGAGCTGAGTAACCCTCCCTGACCCACTGTGAGCCTTGCATCTAATAGCAGGTAACAGCCATGGACTTCTGGGGGGAATAAAAATATAGAAATAGACTCTGTCTATGCTGCAGGCATTGATAGCCTGCTGCAATCTGAGGGTGGGACAGAGAAACTGAGAAAAGGAAGGAAGGAAGGAAAGAAGAAAAAAGAAAAGAAAGAATGAAACAAAGAAAGAAAGAAAAAAAAGAAAAGAAAAGAAAAAAAAGAAAGAGAAAAAACCACTTCCAGCTCTCTAGGCCTCACATTGAATACAAGTTGTGGCAATCCAGCACGTCCCTGGAAAAACTTTAAATCTGTGGTACACTAAAGACAACTATAGCAACCACAAACCCCAGCTCACCTCAAGTGCTTACTAAATTCACTCCAATGCCCACACTAATGGCCTGACAAAAGAGATATTCCCATTTTGGGCATGTACCTCAGTTTCAATTGCTCTTTTATATATCATATTTGACATTTAATTTTAAAAAAAGAAAAAAAAAGACACATTGGAAAAGACACCAAGAGAACCATGTGAAAAGATAAAATAGTCCATAGAATCAGACCCAGAGATGTTGGAATTATCAGACTTTGATAAGAGAAGAATAAAAAGACATATTAATTTAAAAATAGTAACAATAAGATTGTTAACTTCTCAGAATAATAGAAAATAGAATAAAATGAAAAAAATGAAATAAATTTAAAAAATGAAACTTCAAAGTGCTGAAAGTAAAAAATCAACAACCTAGAATTAAATGCCCAGGGGAAAATAAATGAGAGAATATCATAAGCAAAGCGCAACTAAAAGAAATCCTTTGGGGTGCCTGGGTGACCCGGTCACTTAAATATCCAGCTCTTGGTTTTGGCTCAGGTTATGATCTCACAGTTTGTGGGTTCGAGCCCTGCATCAGGTTCCACACTTGCAGTGTGGAGCCTACATTCTCTCTCTCTCTCCTTCTCTCTCTCCTCTCTCTCTCTTTCAAAATAATATTTTATTATTTGTTATATTGAGCAGTAATCTATCTTCTTGAATTTCAACCTCCTGACCCTAATTCTTCCCTCTACAATCACACACAAATAATTCTAATTTCTCTCACATATGCTTGAAATATTATAGTACCCTCCAATGCAACAGAAATGTTTTATTCTGTAGCCAACATCCCCAATTTAAACCGTCCTTTGCAAGATGTGGTCCAGTACTTCTCTAACCCAGAATCTTCTAAATGTACCTCACTTTCTTGATATTTCTTAAATAGATCCCAACACATGAAACAGAGTCTTGTAGAAGCACCTGGGTGGCTAGGTTGGTTGAGTGCCCAAGTCTTGATTTCATCTCAGGTCACGATCCCAGGGTTGTGGGACCAAGCCTCACATGGTCCACTCAGTGTGGAGCCTGCTTAATATTCACTTTCTCTCTCTCTCTCTCTCTCCCTCTCTCCCTTTTCCTCTCTCTCACTCTCCCTTTGCCCCTTCCCCCTGCTCACACTGTCTTTAAAATAGTAACAATCCAAGGCATTCTTGCTTTCCCTACTCCATGTATGCAGCAATGACATTTATCTTTTTTAAGGGGAGAAAATCGTGCTATTTATTCATATGTAATTCCTAATTTTACTTCTGTGAAAGCTCTGGCTTCAAGAGGTTACGATTTATTTTTGTTCACTTAAAGCTATTGCTCAGAAATATTACGCTAGGAATAGTGTACAAACACGACTTGGACAACAAGATTCTGGAGGCTATTTTAACAGATAGTGCACAGTAGTATGGACTAAAATTGTGACCTTTGGGATGTCAAAGAAGGAAAGATTGGGATAGTGGGTGTATTGATACGGCAGACTAATTTTAGGTGGATGGGCAATAAGAGGGCAATAATGAGTCAGTGATGACTATGACTTTTCAAGCCTTAGTAGCAAAGAGAATGAGAAAAATATGGAAGTCAGGAGGCATGCCTTGTTACAGGGAGAAATGTGTTGCTCTAATTTAAATTTATTGAATACTTGTAGAGAGGTATAGAAATAAGATGGGGGATTTTGTGGAGGACAGGAATGGACTTTTAGCTTCATACATGATAGCACAAGCCATAAGACAAAGGAACAAAGGGCCTATCAATGTCCTCTAGCCAAAGACCATCAGGAACATAGTATGATTGAACAAATTGGCTTTATTACTTGTTTGCAAACAAGACCACACACGATAGGGGATGGCATGGCATTTCAGTAACTTATTATAAGATAGGGGCTCCTGATAGATATTTTGGGGGAAGGTTCAAGAAAGTATGACTTTGAATTGGCTACTGTCAGGATATAAGGGTAATTCTGTCATTGGGTATCTCAAGAAATCTTATTTAGAAAGAGGGAAGACTAGAACAAAGCTAAAGCTATCCTTTGTAAAGAAGCAACAGTTACTAGTATTAGCAAGCATGAGGATTGTTTGCTATCTTTGTGGTTTGCAGTGACTTTATTTTAATCTGTACTGGGACAAAATTACAAAGTGGTCTTTTGGTCTCTCCTATCATTAGAGTGTCCTTGTCTAAAGTTGGTGTTTAGTAAAAATAGTTTTTGTTTCACAGGAGAATACCTAGGCCTACCTGTGAATGCCAGGCCAACTCCTAAAAACACCATAGCCTAGCTGGGAGCGTCAAGCCATTTTCCAAATGTTAGGGGTTGTTTTTGTCTCTCAGATCAATGGACTTAGCCTTGGGGAACTACAGTGGAAGCTGGAACAGACACAAAGATATTTATAGAGATAGAGAAGCAGTCCTGAGGAAGTGGAGAGTGAGGAAAACTAGTGCCAGGAGGTCCTTGGTGGGAGCGTGGTCACTAGGGCTAAGAATATTCAGAACTGTTTGAGACTCTGGGTGTGGGGGAATGAAGTAAAAACATCATTGAATCACGGTATCACCGATGATCTTCAGGACAGAAGGTTTTGGGTGTTTGTTTGTTTTTTTGTTTATTTGTTTGTTTCAAGACAAGGGGCCACAGATCAAATTGCAGGGCTATGGAGAAATAGATACTGTGGGTGAAGACCACTCATTTGAAAATTTTGGCAGTGAAAAGAGCAAGAGAATATGAACTAGAAAATTTTGTGAAATCAAATTTTCCCACGAAAATAGAGGTAACCATTACATGTTTGAAGCTGAGGAGAAGGAACCATTGGAAACAGCAACAGTGGAGATGGTAGTAAAGCAATAAAAAACAAAACAAAAAAAAAAAAAAAAAAAAAAAAAAAACAAGAGAAGGGTCTGAGACAAGAACTTCAGGACTCCTTGACATCCTGGACTAGTAGAAGAGAACATACTGGTACAGAAATAGACATGTTGAGTTGGGGTACAGGGTAGATGAAGGAATGGATGACAGGTAAAATGGGCTTTTTCTCTTTTTCTTTTTCAGGGAAGTTAGAAACTAAGATCATCAACAAAGGGGAAAGGGAGATGCAAAAGTCTGGAGGAGGTTTAAGTCATCTGCTAAGAAGTTGTTTAGTAAATCAACAAAAGATACTGGTTTCTATTAAGTCATCTCTTTTATTAAAGAAGGAAATACAACTGTTGCTGTATATTATTAATTTATGGAGGATTAGAAGCAAGAGCCCTTCTCTTCTCAAAAGCCGGGGGTGGAGTAGGGGGGATGGTCGCCATATTTTTACATAAGAGTGGTACAAACAAACTTTCTGGATTAAATATTACTTTACACATTTGTAAGTTTTATTTTGGCTTTTGAATACTGTATCGCCCAGAGGGGGGAAGAAATCTTGCTGTTTTCAAAAGCTAAAGAGAACATCAACCAGAGACAATAGCCATCCAGAAGGCTGAATTCCATAGTATCCAGAGCAAAGCAAATTAAGGTCTCCACTCGCAGTCACAGAAATGGACTCCCTGCTTTCCGCTGAATTCTGCGTATGTGTATCTAAATAACTAGCTGGCCTGCTCCTTCCTGGTATTAGCTGTGATTGAGAGATAACTCACCCGGCGGCGGTGGCGGCGGCAGTTTTTGTGCACGCAGTAGCACATGCTCTTGTGAGCATCAAAAGGAGATGAAGCCTGATTAACCATTTTGAAATCTATCGGATGAGGAGAAGTCCTTACAAAACAACTTTTATACGCTTTAATTAAAAACGTGTTCCGGCAGCTCAGAGCTGAATGGGCTTCAGGGGGAGCAGGGCTGAGCCGGTTGCTATGACGACACCAAATCTTTTCACGCCTGGCCCTTCCCCAGCACACTCTGTCTAGCTCTGTCCAGCCATTAATTTGCCTCCATCCCATCTCTCACTGCCCCAATCCCTTGGTCTGGGAGGCTATGGAAGACCCAGTACCATCTACTTTTTCTGCTATGGCATCTCTCCCTCACTCCCTTTCCCTCATCATTTCATGCCTTATATTTCCCTGCCAATCTCTATTTTCTTGTTTCTCTTCAAAACAAGTTTACCCCCTGAGTTGAAAAAAAAATTTTTTTTAATGGGAGAGGGGGGTCACAGCATAGTAATTACTGCTTATTACCCCTCATGATAAATCCAGTTTTAGGGATCTTGAGTATAGTCAAGAAGGATCTCACTATGTTCTACCCTTTTTTTTTTTTTCCAGGCTTAAGACTGGCTACTACACCACTCTTTCTGATGCTGAAGATAAAAAGGACTATGTTTCACTCTGTTTTAAAGTTAATTTGTGCTTATTAAGATCTCAGGTTATTCCACAAACAACTGGTATTTGTATCAACTGGTAACAATTGTAAGTGACCGTAAGACTTTGAAATACTCTGAAACATTGCAGACCTCACTTTATGTAAGAAGGCTCTTTGAACATTTTAAAAGTAGCACTTTTTATACAGAGACTTAAATAAAACCCAGTGCTATCACTTACTGTACCATAATGAAACAAAAATCGGGTGGAACTTGCCCATCACAGAACCTAACTTGAGAGAATCTGGTATCTTTCAATCTTGTAGTCAGTGCATTTATAGACTATAATATTATTAAATAACTTCTTAATGTTACTCTTTGAATCATCAGAAGCCTTACAACTTTCATCTTGATTACAATTCCAATTTTCCCTTTCACCTATTGTGTTTTATAAGATAAGATAGGTGAGTGGAATGCGCTCATTTGTCATTTGTACATAACGCAGTCTCCTCTTACTGTGGTTACACTTCCAAAGTGAATTATTTGTCAGATTCAGTAAGCATTTCCTTTCTAATTGCCTAACTCAGTAGAGATGTTGTAACTTAAGAGACGGGTGTGGTCTGGAGTGTTGATCCTCAACATAGCATGGTCCAGTGGTCACTGTATACGAAGTGAGCCCTTCAGAGCCATGGGAGTCCAGATGAATCCAAGATTCCAAATCATAATATAACTTTGAAGCTCCAGACTCTGGCATCCCTGGAATTGAAATTTAGAAATTTAACTTCTTTTTAGAAGTTTTATAATGAACTTCCTCAGTCTTTTTACTATATAAAACCCTGACATAATGTATTCCTGACAGGCCACATGCAAATCTGTGGGCCACACACAAGTTCACAAATACTCTAAACTCTCTCTAGTACAAGGAACAGTCTTGGGGTTGGTTTCTAGATTCTATTCTTATAATTTAAGGACTTACCACATTTTTTTTTAATTTTTTTTTTCAACGTTTATTTATTTTTGGGACAGAGCGAGACAGAGCATGAACGGGGGAGGGGCAGAGAGAGAGAGGGAGACACAGAATCGGAAACAGGCTCCAGGCTCTGAGCCATCAGCCCAGAGCCCGACGCGGGGCTCGAACTCACGGACCGCGAGATCGTGACCTGGCTGAAGTCGGACGCTTAACCGACTGCGCCACCCAGGCGCCCCAAGGACTTACCACATTTTAAGAGGTTGAAGTCCTTTGACTTCTTATCATAGTCATACTTAAAATGTGAAGAAGCTGCTTGACCTAGTATTGGATGGCATCTCACAAATGGACCCAGTCTCCTGTTTGTAATTGCCTGATGTAATTCAAATGAATTATTGAGGTTTAACTTTATTATCCCCTTCTCAGTATTAAGAGTAAAAAATCAAAGGCTTATACATCCTAAAGGTGTTTTCCCAGCTGGGGCACTTTATTTGGATCAATCTTAGGTGAAAATTAAAGGAAGTAAAGGTGTATAGATCAGCTAAATACATAGAGGCAGGCATTCAGGTATCTGAAACAGGTTTTAAGGCTAATAAAAATGTATCCTCAAAGAGGTATACTTAAAATGTAAGTCCATTTTACCTAAATATCAGAGAAAATATTCCATTGGCAAAATGTTTTGCAATGGGTATAGTGCTTCTCCATTACACTGATAAAAAAAAATGGGAGTCCTTCAATTCTTGACATTTAAGTCTATTCTGGACCTGGCCTGGAATAACTCTGAGGGGAATAATCTTGCAGGTGAGTGGACTAGAAAATACAATAAATAAGTCTTTTCCATCACCATATTCTATGGCCCCATGATTCAGTGAATCTCAAGACTAAGTGTACTTAGGGTTTGCACTTTAGATAATACAGAATTGTCATTTCTACTGAAATGTTTTACATTTCCTTCCCTCCTAATTTTGTTTCAGAGCCAAAGACATCCACATGAAAATCATGGTATATTGTGTTTAGTAATTCATCCATCCTATGGTGCCCTGCTTACTTGAAGTCACATAATCCTTCATGTGTGCTCTGGCACCAGACAAATTGTTTATGTGATAAACCACAGGAGTGTCCTGTGGCTTCTGGGGTTTGGTCGATATATGTCAGAATTAAAACTTTTATTCAGAGAATGGTCCTTAGACTGGGTCTGCAATGTAGTTACTCTGAAGTACTCAAAATATCATAAAAGTTAATTCCCAGGTACCTCTATCTAGATAGAACTTATTCTGGCCATACATATTATGTTAAAGTCTTATTCAAGTTGTTAATCTGTAAGATCTAAACCACTGCCATCATTATCCTGTGTAAATGCCTTTGGTTCCACAATATTTTGAAACATGTGAAGGACGCACAACAATCTATCACATGTGGAATAACGTGTCACAATTAAGGACAAAGATTAAGCCTCCCATTGATGTTACAAAAGAGATCTTTTTAAGGTGACTAAAGTAACACCACGCTGGAAATATACTGGTCACCGAAATTCAAACCTATTCTTTAATAGATTAACAAAAGCTGGGGTAAGGGTCCAGAAGAGAAGTCACGTATTCTTTGATAACTTGAGATAAGTATTGGGAGTTTAATATCTAAAGAATAGCACTGCCCATGGACTTCTCAGAATATCTGCAAGGTAAATGTTTTACACCCTTTTTGATGTAAATGAAAAAGATTTCACAAAAGCAAATATATGTTTTAACATAAGTTATATTCAAGATGCTGTTCTATAAGACAAAAAGAAAAGGTAAAAAAGGAAGGAAGAAAGAACTGAAGCCTTCTTTTTAATCTTACCTATCATACTGGATTTTTTCTCTCCTCTCCTTACTCCAAGTGCCTAGACCTAAAAATTGGAGTGGTCAGAGTTCTAGGGCTAAATTTGTAAATGTTACAAATAAATAAATGATGAAGGGAAATAATTAATTAAATAAATAAATTCCTGTATCTCCTGATGAGAATAATACCTAGCTGAAAATATTAATCTGAAATGCTTTTCTTGCTTTACTCAAATCAGCAGATCACTTTATTGATTTCATGCTTTGGGGACAGTTTTGTAGATGCCAAGGTATTTAATTGTATGTGTACACTCTATATATTAGAGCCAGCACATGTATACTGTAGGGTGTGTGTGTGTGTGTGTGTGTGTGTGTGTGTGTGTGTGTCTAATTCCCTGAAGAGAAAGGCGAGGAATCCATCACTTGAAGATTGGCATACTCATGACAAATTGGCAAGGAACTACTAATCCTAATCCATGGTTCCTACCAACGTTCCATAAGTGTTGTTGCAAAACAAAAAACTGAAACCATTTTAAGTTTTATTATTCTTTATCTGACTGACATAAAACTGCAATACATACCTTGCTCAGTAATGGTGAGGGGGGCAAATAGGATTGTGTAGGAAGAATACCCAGTAATGATAACTGAAAGTCGTATTTTAGACACTAAACTATAGAGGTCTTCTTGGATCATGATTCTTAGGGAATTTCCCGCTGTCTCTGCCTCTCACTGCTCTGTCTCTCTCTCTCTCTCTCTCTCTCTCTCTCTCTCTCTCTCTCTCACACACACACACACACACACACACACACACACACACACCCTGGGTCAAGGCACGTGATACTGCCTGTTTTAGTCTGTTTTCACCTCCGTTCACTCAGGATAGCAGAGAAGCAGAGGCTAGAGGTGTCTGAAAGGGCAAGCATGCCAGTGGAACCCGGGAGGAGGCGCTGACGTCCAAGTCGGGGTCCCGGGCGCAGTGTCCACGCAGCCGGAAGCAAATGGGGTGGTGCAGCACCCCCGGCACCGGGACCCTGCGCCCGGATGCGGGACGCGGTGCCCCGGCCTCGGCCAAGACCGCCGAGGCGCCGTTGTGCGATCAGTGCGGGTGGCTGGCGTGAAAGCGGGTGTGGAGAGCATCAGCAGAAAATGACTCCAGAGCAGGGGCGATTGAAATCCCCGTTTATCGGTGCTAGGTTGAAAGTAAAGCTGGCTCCGAACCACGGGCACCGGGACTGGGCGGCGCGGCCGGGATGCTGGGAGCCCTTTGCGCTTGGCCGGGGGCGCCTGGCGACCTTTCAGGCCTGCACGCCTCGGGCGCCAGGGACTGCTCTGCAACCGGAGTCGCGGAGGAAGGAGGATAAACACCCAGCCCTCGAGGCGGCCCTCGGGGAATGACTGCAAAGGGAGACACGAAAAATAAATCAAACGAGAGTGCCGCCCCGCCCCCTCCCGGCGCAGTCTCCTCAGGCGGCGCCGCCAGTCCTGCAGCCTCGGGGCGGGCCCGCGCCCTGGGGCAGCCCGAGCCCGGGCCGGGCCGGCGGAGTCCGCGCCTCGGAGCTGGTCCCAGGAGCGCGCTCCGCCCGCCCGCCCCGCCCGGCCGGGCCCCTCGGGCTGGATAGAGCCCTGCTTTGCTCTTTTCGTTGGCCAAGCACAATTGTGTTATTGGAGATAATGAATTCAATCCCCATCAAAGGGCATTAGGCTCGCCCGGGCCCTGGAGTTGCTGATGCCTTTTTTTTTTTTTTTTTTTTTTTTTTTTTTTTTTTTAACTAGGAATGAAAGGCTGTGGGGGAGAAAAAAAAAAAAAATTCTGTGGGGGAGCCTTTCCCCTGATCGCCGCTTTTGAAGTGAAGGGGCCCGGTCATTGTTGTTCACCTCGCGGCCCATAAGGCTGAAGAAAGCCTGGGCTTTTGATGGGCTGAGAACCGCCTCGGCAATGAGCACCACGTCGGGCCGCGCGGCCTGCGGGCAGCATATGTCTCGGGGCGCCCGGGCACCGTCTGGCGGGCGGGGCGGCAGGCCTGGCGGGGAGGGGGCCCCACCGCGCCAGCAGCCTGGGAGGCAGGGACAAGGCCCGCACCCAGAAGCCGCGTCCCCCCCGGGGCCGCAAGGTCTCCGTTTCTCGCGCCCACTTCGTGGCGTGACGCGGGGGGTCCCATCATCTGTGGGTGATCAGTGAAGACGTCTGACCGGGAGGCCAGCCCTTTGTAGGTGAGGGTGGGGACGGCAAGGGTCTCGGGAGCGCAGCGAGCCTGGTTTTCAACCATCAGAACCGAGCAACTAAGGTATCCGGCTTAGCTAGAGCTGGATGAGTCTGCGAAGGCGTTCCCCTCCGAGAGGGCCAGCCGTGCCACACGCAGTTAAGATTCTGCGCCTGTGACTCGGCACCGCGCAGCGCGACCGGGCTCCCGGCGGGGGTGAGGGGACCACGGGAGGGCAGGCGGACACCCAGCAGCAGGCGCGCGGCCCGCTCAGCCAGCCGGGCGGTTTCTCCAGCGTGCGCGGCGTCCCGCCTCGCAATTCTGAACCCAGCACAGGACATTAGCACCAGACCACCTTTTCCAAAAACTTGTTGCACGAAGTTAATTAAGTTTACTTTCAGTGCCCTTAACGTGAACTTTCCTCACCTCCATTCGCATCCCGCGCCCCCCTCCGCCAACCCTCCCTCCTCTGAACTCCGGCCCAAGGGTCAGCGACTGGAGCTGTTCCGTTCTCTTCCCGGTCTCCACCCCTCCCCCCGCTACCCCCCAACAAAGGATCCGGGTTATCCGCCCCATTAATATATTAGCCAGGCATAACACAAAGGAAGCGCGTGTCGGCAGAAGGCAGTGTGACTCCGGGGAGAGGTGAGGAAACCTGGACGTTGCCCTGCGCCGCAACACGGCTCGTTGCAGTTTGAGCTGATGAATCGGCCTCCACCCAGGCAAAAGCGGTGAAAGACGCGGCGGGAGTTGGCGCTCCGGCTAAGCAGACGTTGGGTTAGGCGGTTGTGGCTGGGCTATGGGAGTGAAGAAGCGCAAGGCTCCCAGGTGGGACCCAGAGCTAGGGGAACGTTCCAAAAATGCATCGGTCAACTGGATCGCGCAAAGAAAACCAGCTCTCTAAGAGTGTAGCACTAAATGGGAGCCTCCTACCTCCCTCGTGCATAATGGGTCCTTAAAGTTAAATATATAAACGAAACAAACCACCACGAAACCCCTTACAGTTCTCATTATATTGGTTGTGTTTTAAAATACCAGCTCTTTGGTGTGAAAGAAAGGGAAAAAACAACAACTGGCCTAGAACATGATTAGACAAGCAAAGGAGTAACTAAAATTTCATGGGAGAGAGGAAAGAAACTAAAGAGATTTCCGGTTGAATGCATTGTTCCCTATTTCGAAGTAGTCCTTTGGGGGGTATTTCCAGGTTGTTTTTCTGGGTTTCAGGGATTTTTTTTAAAAAAAAGACCGTGATGTAATCTTGAGGAGAGAAATATAAAGTCAACCAAGGGAAACCTCACACTTAGAACTGGGAGTCAGGCCTGCCTTAGTACTGGCCGCTCTGAACTTGATCTTGATGGGACTTGACCAGCATCCCACCTGGATTCGGAGGTCCCCAAGCACCTATTTCATTTAAGCCTTTTCCTTCCCAGATTTTGAGGGAGAATATTCTGCTTTTATACTTTACATTGAGTAGAACATATAGAAGTGGCATCTGGAGAGAAGGTGGCTTCTCACTTTCTTGGGCTACAGAGGAGAGCTTGGGCTTACCATGAGCTCTGCTTTTTTTGCTCTGTAGTCATAGCTGACATAATTGGAGAAATGAAGAAGTTAGAGAAAGGTAGCAAGTGAGGATTTCCCTCTTGTCAGGTTTTTAAAAAATGTTTATAGTAAGAAAACGTATGCATTGTACACGTTAAAATTGAAATGCATGGGTATTCTCCAACTCCATATTGCTTGCCAGAATGATGGCTGGAGTCGAGGGTGGTGAGGGTTGCAGTCTGCAGGGTCCAAAGTTCAGTGAACCCAGCTAGACTGGGAGCTAAAAGAGAGACACCAATGAAACCATTATGGCCTTATATGTAACTATTTGGAAGAAAAAAAACCAGAACATTTAATCTGTTAAATGTTATTTGGATACACCAAATAGGATCAGTGGTAGAAAATAAAACTTGCAGAAATGGCTGCTGTAAAAAAACAACACACCTTATATCTCCCCAAATAGATTCTATTTCTAGATGAAAAGGTTGTAGAATCTTCCAACTTGTTTCATTTTATTACACTCTTACTCTCATGAGTTTCTATTGATGTTAATGATTCCTTGTATTTGAGAAAATCTTATTTCTAAATTTCTGCATAACTTATTGACCTATTTTGTCCAAGGTAGTTTACAAATAGTCAACGTTTTGCACATAATTATCTCGAACTAATTAGACATTGTCTTAACTCCATTTAGTTGCAAAACACATTTTCCTACAATTCAAATAAGCGATTAAGATTTAATTTTTGAAAATAAAATATTTCTACAAATTTATTAAACATCTATTAAATAATTTAAGCAATTTTATCTTTTCAATGAGTGTTTCCTCTTGACATATTGAAGTATCACATTAAAATACATTATAGCTAAATGTTCTACATTATTACTGCTAAATCAACAGAAAACCAATTGATCTTAAGGAAAGGTTAATTAATTTGGGCTACAGGTCTCCTACTTTGGTCTGCATTGAAAGGAATTTGAATTGATCGCAGAAGTTTCTGCAAAGAAACTGAATAAGCATTTTTGTGGAACTGAGATCAATTTTTCAAAGTGCCAAAACAAAATTTTTACATTTTATCACTCCAGGAACTCTTTTATGCTGTAGATCATTCAAATCTGTTAGACTCCTGAGAAAAACAATGTTTTTTTTGCATGCTTTCAGTGAAATCAGTTGAGTATTCTAGGCTTCAGAAAATGAAAACAGAAGTTAAGAACTTTAATAGGATTGCTTGTTTCATCCCTCCTCCCTTAATAATTCTCACCAGCTTATTCTGCTATGAAGAGTTCAAGAAGGGACAATGGAAATTACATTTTATTTGTGACGTACACACTGTACCAGCCGTCATGTAGAAACAGACCGAGCTGCCTTCTACTTGGGAACACTTCTAAGTTGTGTAGTTTCTGGTGAGCTTTTCTTCTTCCCTATCTGTGTTTAGTTGTCTTCTTCTCTTCATATCAATTTAAAAAATGCGTCAGTCCCGGAACCAGGTGAAAGTTAATGTAAAGTTCTCTTCCCCTGGACTCCACTCACTCCCAAAACAGTTTTGTTTTTTTCTAAAAGTGCTCAGTGGTGGCGTCGTCACTGCATCGGAGGGCCTCGGCAGCTTTGCTCTAGGGTCTGTAGGGAGGGTTTTGTTTTTTGGGTTTTTTTCCTTCTCACTCCCTCCCGCCCCATCCGGAGACCCCTCCCCCACCACGAGGGAAATTCCTAAATAAAGCGAGCCCGGTGGCCCGCGGCTGAGCGGTCAGCATCCCCTTTCCGGCCCTCATCTACGGGAGTGTCCGAGGTGAAGAAATACAGAAACTCGACGACGAAAAGGGGGGCGGGCGGGGGTCACGAGAAGGTGCCGCGCTCGAGGAGGGTCCCGGCACTCCCTCGGAACCACAGATGTTTTCCTCCTGGCCCTGGGGCGCGGCGCCCCAGCCCCGGGCGTTCCGGCGTTTGTGTGTCCGGGTTTCCGAGGAAGGGATTACGCAGCGGGAGCAGCCGCGGCAACGCGGGCGTTGGGCCACAGTAGCGGTAAAGCGACGCCTGGCCTTCTTTGTTGACTTTTAGGTCTCGGGCTCAACAGAAGATTTATTCGCTAGGAGGGGAAAATGCCCAAACAATGAAGAACTAACTGCACTTGTCACCCCGAGATGCTTGCGGGCCTGCTCTGTCCCTCTTCCCCGGCAACCGGCTGCCTTTGCCCCAAACGGCGCACAACTTAACGCGCGGGGCGCAGATCACCTCGGCCAGACGTTGCAGAGCGCGCGCAAGGTGCCCGGGGAGGGGGGAGGGGGCGGTTTACTGCCCAGAGGTGGCGGAAAATCGCCTGAGAACCCCACGAGTCCAGCTCCCCGAGATCCACCGTGCTAGCTTCTCAGGCAGATTTCCAAAGTAGCCTCTGTGGTCAGCCAACGGCGCCTCGCCCCCCGCAAGCCTAGAAAAAGTCTTTGCCAAGTAACAGAGAGCTAAGGCCGACTTAAGCCCAGAGGGTGAAGCAAAACATTGATATTGCTAATTTGTTAAAGAGAGGAAGGGAACATCACCGAGGGGTAGACGATTTAGATTCAGTGCGGCTGGTAAAATTCCTAGGCCCAAACTCACGCCCTCATATCACATTTGGAATTCGAATTTACCAACTTTTGTTTACCTGCTATATAAATATAAGTAACTATTGAGATTGAAAGCTTTTTCCTCTCTTTGGGACTTTAATGTCCTCCCGAGAGGCCTCTAAATTAGGTTTTGAAATTATTCAAACCAGTTATTTCTCTCTCCTCCTTTCATTAGCTGAAGTGTGTGTCGGGGGGTAGGGGGGAGGGCTTGGATTTCTGGATTTTTCTCAAGTGCTACACGCCACCCCTTCTCTCATCTGGGGAGGCAATTACGCGATAATTAAGGGACTCACACAGCTCTTTTTATCTTGTCCGCAGTGTGGAGTGGGGCGATCAAAGTAAAGGCTGTCCAAGTTCAAGCCTTGGCGAGGATGGAGTTCATACACAGGGGCTCAGGCAGGCTAGCCTCTGCTTGGGCTGGTGTTGTTATTGTTGATGTCAATCCGAACAAGATTTACAAAGAAATAGGTGGACTGGAAAGTGAGCCTACTATCAAAGGAGATTAATGATTTTGTGATCTCAAGCAACTGTAGGGGTGTGAAGTTGCATTTAAAAGCTTCTTAGAAGGCAAACAAATCAGCTTTAAGTTCTCAGGAATGATATTTTTAGAAACCGTATTTTTAGAAGTATCTTCACAAAATACAAAATAGCAGCTACCCTGAAATGTCCTGATGGCACAAAGCTTCCCCTGCAGGAGTGAATTAACTTGCCTCCCCTTCACCCCCTCCAAAGCAACCATGATGGTTGAGTTTTGTTTCTCTTTTAATGGAAAAAAAAAAAAAGAGAGAGAGAGAGAGAGAGAGTTCAGGATTCTTTGTTGTGGACAACTTAATTTTATCAGCCACATATGATATTTTATTCTCCTAGAATACTTCTCAGATAAGGGAAAATTATACATTGAGGAAGGGGGCACAGTAGTTATATTAATGAATTTGATTTCATTGTGGACAGGCTCAAAGGAAAATAGAAGGCTTAAGCTCATCTCAAAAACTGAAGTAAACATTACCAGGAATAAACAATCTTAAAAATCTCAATTATTGGGATATAACATCAATTTATCTACCCACTTTTATTGCATTACTGTAACTGCTTTTTACTAGCCTCAAGTTCATGTAATAAACATAAACAAAACAATTTTGTTTTAGGTCATTTTCCTTTTTGCCATTTATATTCAGTGCCGGACTTTGCAAAATATCATAATCAGAATTCCTATTTTGGACTTAATTAAGGAAAATAACAGAAATACTTTTTTTGTTAACATTTGATTTATTTAAAGTCCTTAACTGCAAATGATCAAGAACATATTCCACGGCTTAAAATTTATCATTTTTGTTATTTAAATCAAAATATTTTAATTACAATCACGTTGATAAAATTAACATTTTTAATTTGTAATTTTAACCATCATTTAAAGTAATTTCAACTATAAAGGGAAAAAAAAAAGGAATAAACCATGCAATAAATTAACATTGAGAAAGCAAAGAAGAAGAATGAAACCCGTCTGGCTATACTAACACCATGTCCAGCTGTGAAAAGTGCATTAACACTGAATGAAACAAGCACATGATGGCAATAATTAAAATGGCCACAATCAATTGGATTTTGGGATCTTGGACCAAATTTTGAAATACCACTCCCTATATCTTATCTCTCCTCCAACATTGTAATATTCCCTTTTTCCTGGAAAAAAATATTATTTAAATGGTATAGATACAGAGAAGCTAATTTTATACATGTTCTGTGACCTCAGAATGACATGACAATGGCACTCTGCAAAGCAAGGAGCAGAGTTATTGAGGATTGCAATTCTTGAGGAATTGATTCCCAGGGCTATATGTGGGTAGAGAGGACAAGGGAGAGGGGTGTCTTTGTAACTTCTTGGTCAGGCAACTCTTGAAAATGTAGCATGTATAACACCTACGTATGACTTCTATATGTTATGTAAATATATGGAGGATGTCTACATATCTGAGCATGTGCATAAATAAGTTCGTACATAATATATATGTATTCCATATCTGAATGTATCAGAAATGTAAGCTGAATAACAAATGGCTCTGATGTTTATAATCAGTTTATGTTTTGCTGCATAACAGCAGTATTGTCCTTCAAATACTTTTAATAGTCCCTAGTGTCTACTTGTTTCTTCACTCTTTCAGTTCATATGGTTAAGAGTATTGCCATAGACCTGTAAACTTGTGGAGAGCTCAGGTGGTGGAAGGGGGGGAAGCACAAACAAATATTTTACAAGTTTGACCATCTTTCTTCTTCTTCTTCTTCTTCTTTTTTTTAAATAAACCCTGCACAGACTGGAATGTGTCTGGAGGGAAAAGAGGGAAGGGACAGGAATAAGGAAATAGGAAGATTTTATATATACATTTGTGGATCGTTAAACTTGGCAGGAAAAAATTTTTTGTTGGTTTGGGATGGGTTTTCTTTGTAATAATATACACAAGGCATTTTGAATATAATAACAAAGTAACAGTCCTTTGCACTGGGGAAAAGATTGTGCACACACACACACACACAAAATGAAATAAAAATAGTTGGGATTTTATTATGCTGTTGTCGGCTCGATATGTGTGGTTTGGTTTGCTGTTGATTTTCTCTGTGTGTCTCTCTCTCTTGCTACCAGCATGGCCATGCCAGACAAACCCCCGGTCCCAGGGAGCTAGGAAGTGTTTAGGACGGGTCTGGAATACACACCTTGGTAGTACGCTGGCTCCAGGGCTGCGGGCTCGATGGGGCTCCTGGTGGCCACCGAGGCGCTGCCGAGCGGCAGGCTGGCGGGCAACGCAGCGCCATAGGGCGAGTACTGTAGTGCCTGCTCGTACGCCTTGAAGTCCAGCTTGTGCTGCTGCTCCGAGGAGGACATGAGGTTGTTGATGGAAAAGGGGTGGTTGAAGGAGTAGTGGGGGTCCCCTTTCAGGTGCAGCTGGGACTCGTGGGGTGCCAGGCCATGCGCCGGGTGGGAGGGAGGCACAGAAACCAGTGCCCCTGGCCCAGAGCTGATCGGGGGCGCCGCCGAGGAGGCTGGAGTCTTCAACTCCGAGGCGCCCCCTGTCGCTGTCGCCCCGCTGTGGTCCAGAGTCTGGGGGCTGGCAGCAGGCCCGGGGGCCGGCGCGCCCTCTAGCTGGCCCGCCTTACCGTGCACGCCCCGATGAAGGGGAGAATTGGCACTGGGGTTGGCGGCGCTCGAGGGGTCCTTGCGGCTCTCCGGGCCGCCCTTGGCGCCGCCGCCGCCGCCGCCGCCGCCTCCGCTCCCGCTTCCGCCCCCGGCCCCTGGCTGCTTCTCACACTTGAAGCGCTTCTGTCGGCGCAAGTAACAACCGTTCTCAAACATGTTGCCGGAGTCCGGGTGCAGCGTCCAGTAGGAGCCTTTGCCTGGCTTGTCCGGGGATCGCGCCACTTTGACGAAGCAGTCGTTGAAGGACAGCGAGTGCCGGATGGAGTTCTGCCAACGTTGCTGGTTCTGCCGGTAATAAGGGAAGAGGTCCATGATCCACTGGTAGATCTCGCTTAGCGTGAGCATCTTGCTGGGCGCCTGCTGGATGGCCATGGTGATGAGCGAGATGTACGAGTAGGGCGGCTTGGCGTGCGGGTAGCTGCGCTTGAAAGTCTTGGCGTCGCCGCCGCCACTCGCTCGGCTGCGGCCCAGGTTGGACGGCGCGTACGCCATGGGGCTCATGCACGGGTTCATGGCAGCGGCGTAGGGGCTCAGGCCGTTCATGGAGGCCGCGGGCTGCGCGCCCATGGCGCCCATGCCGCCGGGGCTCAGCGTTGTCCCCATGGCCGTCACGCCCGCAGCCGTCATGCTGTTCATGGCGCCCGCGGAGCCTCCTGGCATGCCAGCCACCGCGCCCGGACTCAGGCCGGCGCCCAGGCCCGGGTTTGCGTAGGACATGTTGAACGAAGCTGGGGTCATGTTGCCGCTGGTGGTCATGGTGTTCATGGTCATGTAGGTGTTCATGGAGTTCATAGAGCCCAGGCCCGAGTTCATGTTGCTGACGGGGACCGAGGAGTAGGCCTGGAGCAGAGATAGCAAGTGAAGAGGCCCCAAAGGGCGGGGTTAGTGGTGGGCGCGGGCGGCCGATCCTCCCGGGGCAAACCCGGAGATTTGCAGAGAGCATTTCTGCAAAGCATAGGACCCCCCACCCGGGGCAAACCGTCAGGCGCCCTCCCTAGAAAGAGCAAAAAAATGTCTTGCGCGGCAGGGGAAAAATCCTATCGCGGCAGGCATGAAAGAGAAGCGCTCACAGAAAATATGTCCCCAGGAAGATGTGTAATCGCCTTACATGCCAGGCCCAGGGGCCGGCTTCTGAGGTCCCTCCATCGCCTACCCCATCCACGCCAGTTGGTATCCCAGTCTCCACCCCAGGCCGGCCTCAGCAAAGCCCTTTTGGTTAAAAGGAGTTTTAACCAAACTAGAGAAAAAAGGCGGTGCAGCCTGGGGGTGTGCAACAGAAACACCAGCTCTGTGCCTATCTTGCCTAAGCCTGAGCTGACCGCGGAGCACTCTGTTGTACGGGGTGGCTGTTAATTAAACTCTCCCTGATAGGACTAATCATTCATGGCCGTATGACCCATCCATTTCTCAACAACTGGCTTTATACACCCTTAGCATTTTTTTCCCCCAAATGGTGACTTTGTTATAATATTTACGAGTAGTGTTTCCCATCTACTTGTAGCAACTGTAATATTAAAAGGGAAAGAAACTCAAGTTAAATAAGTTTGGAGAAAAATTAAAAATAGATCTACAAGAAGAGAAGGGGCAGGGAGGGGTGATTAATAATATCAATGCACTACACTTAACTTTAGCATGACTTCACATGTACATCTCTTTAAGACATTCAAAAACTTGCATCAATTTCGTTATCTATTTTCAGCCCCATAACATTTAAAAATTTTGGTGACACAGTTTGTCGGTATAATCTATTTTGTTTCACATACTGTTACATTGCTGCGGATCATCTCAAAGACTGGCTTTAAAATCTCACTTTAAATTTCTAAATCAAAGTCGACTTACTTTCTCTTAATGCTATTCTATTTCCCAATTCTCAGCTTTAACCTATAAGGAAGCTCTTTCCATAGGGGACTTCATTGACTAGTGGGTCAAGATGACTGCATTGAATTAAACCCGAGGAAGAATTCTGAGCTCATTTTTAAGCCAACAGTAGGAGAAAACCCTTATCAACAGCAATTTGGGAATGCACTATATATGTTAACAGTATACAGTCAGAAACATAAAAACTTCTGATAATTTAATAAAAATAATATAAAGTTTTTCATCAGCAAATACAATTCCATTTGAAAACATAAAATCTGTACAGATTTAACACTCTGCTATGGTATGCAAATAAACTCAAGCTAAGTTTGTAAATATAAAAATATACAAATCTAAATAAAACAATTACCATAAAAATATTTCCTGATTCTACATTTTTCTGTCCATGTCTTAAAGTATTTTTTACTTTCGTTTTTTTTTTTTTCTTTTCTTCTCCCCAAGATTATTCCAAGGCAATATCATTAAGTGTTTTTAACAATGGTGAACTTTTGGGGGTTAATCGCCAGCTGTTTCCAGAGAAATATTTCTAGTAGATGGTGGTCCTGCCTGTACCTGGTTTTCCTCACAATCCCTTTGTGCACATTGTAAAATAAACCACATGAACGTGCCACCAAGGGGACAATGAAGAGAAACAGGTTCCCGGTTCGCCGTGCTGGAGGAAAAGTCAGTTCGCACCAGCGCCACCCAGCGGTTCTACGGTAGAATGAGCACACTTCTCCCCAAACAGGGCTTTTAAAGAAGTTTCATAAAATTTCGGAATCGTTTCATTATTAAGACGCTCAACTTAACGGCGGCGCGCTTTCATCTGAAGACATCTTCGAATTCAACCATGGGAGGAAGAGGTCGCCCTGCAGACAAGCTCTGTCTTTCCTAAAGTTACCTCCAA